TTTAGCAAGATGGCAAGTGAACAAAGAGGTGCATTATGATGTTACTACCCCCACCGGCAGCACCCAGTCTGTCACATTTATATATATATCCAGCTTCTGTTGCATTTTTCCTCCAGACAAATTCACACATGCATTTTAGTTTTCAGCTCCAGACGGCTCCATAGAGCTATGGAGCCGTAGCATGCTCGATTTGTCTGAGTGCGTGCCTTTGTGTATTAACAGGTGCTTTTTCTGCTGCAATTTTAACTAGGCTGCCTCCACAGTAGTCCCCAGTGTTGCCCTGGGAAACTAAGTTCGAAAGTGGGGGCGTCGTAGACGGCTGAATCATCTTATTTTCCATGTATTAGGAGGACTAATCAAGAGGGCATGATCAGCTTGTGTGGAGCAACAGATTGCAGTTGCATCTGTCAGTTTTTAATGTGAGCCTATCACCGTCTCCGCCCGCTACTTCGTCAGACAATGCAGACACGTAGGCTTTGAGCTTTTCTGAAGTCTTGCTATCAATCCCCAAGCGTCAATTTCACCCCTTTTTAACTCTCCTCTCCTGCCACAGCGGTGCCTCTGAGCTTTCAGAGAATACCTTAATGGAGAGAGAGAAAAAAGAGTGAAGTGCACAAGCCGCTGCTTTATGTACCTTTTTACCTGGAGCCTCATTGTTGCAAGTGAAGAGAAAAAAACAAATCCAGCTAGAACACTAAAAGAATGAGATAGGAGAGATGTAAACAAATGTTACCCTTTCAAGTTTAGAGTCGCTGTTTCTTTTATTGCAACTCAAGTGTCTACTACTTGCTGTAGTACATTTCAAGGTCTGTTTGATAGCGTGCCTTGCAGTCAATGAGACGGTAGTCACTTGCCAGTCCTTTTGCAGGATTTGTAATTATTTAGCAGGGGAAGTCTTCAAAGAAATAACATCCTAAAGATTCAACAGCAGCACGTTATGGTTAAGGCCAACTGTCCTCATATTCCTGTGGGTGACATTACCCACAGCTGTAATTTTAAGGTTTAATATTATGTGAAATGCAACCCCCTAAAAGGTTCTTGAGAACTGACTTGGAGAGTTTCTAGAAGCCTGATTGGTGGTCTTACAGGAGGGTATTTCTATTCCCGCCATGCCCCTCTCCTTCTAGTTATTTGTTTTAACTGTTCCCACTGGAGCGAATATAGTTACAATTGCCAACAGCTTCAAGCCTTGCTGATTGGCTTATTTCCTGTTGCCTGTAGCATTAATTGACATGCCAGATTAGCCGTTTGCAGCCACTTCTACTTGATTTGACCTCTTCCCTCATTCCGGTTAATATTCATCTGGTCTATCCCCCCTATGCTGTCGCGTCCGGCATCCCACAAGGAGCCCTGTCATGCTCGCAGTAAATTAGGCTCTGTATCGCATGGAGAAGCCTTGCCTTCCTCAAACATCTGCATAACGACACACCTTCAGGGGGAGGACATCGCATGGAGAACTAGTTCATTTCAACATGGAAGAATAAAAGAGTAGACTTGAGAATAGATACGATGGATGATTTAATGCTTGGTTTAAATATTACCATTAAAAGATTAAAAGCCACTACATAGTCATCTGATATTGAACACAGATCAAAGATAACTACACATTTTTTTCTTGGTATAACATTTTCATGTAAAAAAGCAACATAACCACACTGAGGCAAAAATCAATGTCCTGTATAATAATTGAATTAATCCATATATTTGATCAAATGTCAATGAATAAACGGATTAATAACATCTAGTTTTGAATACAGAATCACTTAAAGTGACAAAGATGATTCTTACTTTGGCATTTTATTAGCAGGCGTCAATACAATTATCTATATAAACTTGTCTGATTAAATAGAAAGTTATGCCTTTCATCTAGATTGTGTAGGTGAGCATATCTGAAGTGCAAACACACTTTAACGTTGTCTCGATGTTCTGCATAGAAAGTTCTGTCTCAGGGACTTCATTAAACCTGCGATATCATTTTTGATTTAATACCTTCTTCACTGATGGCACTTCTTATCCCTGATGTTTAACCAGTGCGCAGGCGAGACTATTTAAATCACAGAGAGAAGACCTTGTGCTGTACTGTATGTGCCTCAGAGTTGACAGACACTATTCAGAGATTCATTTTCAGTACACATTAATTATTAACATTTCTACATCACAAAACACTTCAAATCAATTCGTCTGGTCTCTGCGAAACCTTTTTCTCTAAAAAGAATTCCAATTGTTATTCAATCTAAAACATATAGTCTTTCAATAGAAAAATAATCTCATATTTCAGTTTTTCAGATTTGAATTATTGCTTTATGTCTCATTTATGATGGTTTACTTAATATATTTGTGTTTTGGACAGAAAGTGTATATTAGCATCCTCCCAAGTACATACTGTACATGCGTTTTCAAATAAAAATAATAATACACAAGTATTTAATGTAACCTTAAGCTGCTGCATTTTTGGCCAAGAGGAAGAGAGTTGAAGTACCTTTGAATTAGGATTAAGCTATTAAAGTATCCTGCCCTGTTTGTGAGTGTGAATTCTGCAGCTCCTTCTGAGACTGGAGCTACTTTACACCCCTCCACTCCCTTTGACCCACTTGTTTAACATGCCTACATTATAAAGCTACACCGCCTCCAAATCCATCAAAGCAAACCCAATCCACTTTCCTCACCTTGTGATTCTCCACACCTTATATCCATGCATTCGATGAGCAGCAGCTCCTCTCCCCCAATTTAAAGTCAAGTTCAGCAGGGAACTGTATATAAAAAGGCACCTTTCCCTTTGGAAATATGTGGTCCAGGATATTGCTTTGATGATACAGAATATTATGTTTGTGTGATGATATTTGTTGTGGGTGAGTTGGCAAATGCCTCATGACACGGACTGATTTTCACTACATGTAAAAATAACCTCTTGAAGGCGGTGTAGACTGGTGAATCAGAAGAAAATGTATTAAATAGAACATTTTTACTTTTAATTCCAATAAATATGAATCCATTTGTCATTCTTTTTATGGATCAGCTTCAAACAGTGGTTCAACCTCCCCTGAAGAAAGGCGGTTTTAAGCTTTTTTGCATAAAGATAGTAACAACAAATGGAGATGGACTCCCGGTTGGATTGCAGGTTTTATTATTTCTTGCCTTGTAGTATCTTTTTCTCCATGCAGGTCATTTCTCCCTGCCGTTTGTCTTGTCTTATCTCTTAAGTCCCTCCGCAGCTGGCTGTTTTATTTAGGCAGGTGAAAGCTCTTGACTGTGCTCCCTATCTTTGGCAGTGCAGCCGAGGCCTCATTGGCTGAGCTCAAAGATTCTATTGGTCCTGATTGTGGCCTCACGTTGTCATTCAGATCTTCTATTATTTCGTCGACCAACATGCTGCATCTTTTCCTGAAGGTTCTCCGTCTATAAAGTAGCAATTTGGCCTGCCGGAGATCCAGACTTACTGACAACAATCCCTGCTTTCTCGCGATAGAGCGGTCACCAGAAACCCACCCCATTAAGGCTCTTTTATGTATGTTTAAATTACGCTGCTATTGCGTGGGTTTGCACAGATTGTTTTGGCTGTCAGGGTTATTGTCTGCCAGCTTATGTGGAAATACATTGGCTGCGAATGACGAAAGTAAAGATGAATAACTTTCTATTCTTGCTCTGCTGCCCACACATCTCTTTCTCCCGCTGTGCTCATGCTGGTGGCTTTGTACACAACTCAAGAAAGAACCATAAACTGCAGAAAGTTTTCAGGCTGTATTCCAAACCAGTGGTACAAAGAGATGCAAATCTTTAAAAACTGGAGTTCATTTCCTTTGGCAAGACATCAGCTTGTTTAGCATGTTAACTTCTCTAAGGACTTAAACTTTATGCGGTTGATAAGGGTACATTGTTTTGTCGAAGCAGTGTTTCATTATCTTCGTAGCTTTATGTGTATCTAGAGGCAGCATAGCCTACTCAGCTTTTCACTGCATGTTGTGGATGCTCGGTCACAATAATAAGCCTCAGTACATAGGCCCGGCTTTGCCAGCCATTGTAATGGGGCCCTTGTGTCAGGTCCTTGTTAGCTGATTGACAATAAGCTCCGGCCTAATGAAGTGTAAACCAGAGATCTGGGAGTCTGCGAGTGGGCCAGATGAATATGACCGGAAGCCTTTATGCGCAGCAGAGAGTTCAATGCTAATGCTATTAGCCAGGAGGTCAGTCCATTGCGCTTCACCCCTGCTCAGTATATCAGCACTACATAATATGGTGGATGTAAGGGCACAGTGTTGAAACAGTTGAGTGTGATATCTCTCCGAGGATGAATAGAGAGAGAAATGGGTTCACGATGGGCATGCGGACTGATTGCAGCTGTGTTGGAATGATCACAGACCTTCTGCCCTTTACAGGCTTCCTCTGTGTTAAGGTTTGTCCACTGGAGAGCGTTGCAGCTCCGTTGGGCCCCCATCTGGCCGGCTTCCTCTCTTCCTGTGCGTTTATTAACAGTCCATTTGTTGCTCCTGCCCCGAGGAGCCATCCTCTGCTGCTTACTCACTCAGCTCCTGCTAATGCTGCTGATGAGCCCTTAATATACAGATGGTCCACTTCATGCAGCCTTATTAAGCCTCAGCACTTTTTATACTCTGCTTCTCACCAGTTGTATCCATTTTGGATTTTAACATTTTCTCTACCTGCTTTAAATTAGATGTTTATACACAGTTCATTTTCTATTTGGCCCGATATGAGTACATAAGCTACAAACTATTTCTGTGTAAAAATGCACGATGTTCTATATTCATTTACCATTCTAGAGGTTATTGTAAGGCATTTAGTATTCATAGCCAACCACCATTTCCCCATATGTTAACCCTTATAATGCATATACTGTATAATGCATTAACTAGTTGTAATTCAGAGAAAGTGCTATCATTTCCCGATAGCTCTTTTCTGATGCTCATGTGATGGAGTCCTGGTGTGTTTGTCCGCACCGCTGTGCACAAACACACAAATTAACCCTTTGCATGTTTCTCTTCTAGCCAACGCCGGGGCCTGTTATGCTAAGCAAGGTAACTCACCGGACGAATGGCTCCCTGCTCTTCCATCATGCTTACATTTACATTTTTCAGATACTTATTCTTTTGTGTTACCATACCGTCTCCTTCCAGCTGTCTCCTTTTTGCTTATGCTTTCAATAGTGTTTATTTTCAATTAGAGCGCTGATAAAAGGCCAAAGGCTGTCAGAGTGATGCGCCTCCTTTAAAAAGTCACCTCCAGACAAGACACGGTGAGAATATGTAGAGTAAGTGGCAGAGAATGTCAAGGGATGGAGGGAACTCTCAGATAGATGGACAGTAGTTGGTGAAAAAGAACAAGGACATTTATAAAGGAAGTGTTGCCTCACGTTCCCAACTGACTTTCCATTTCCTCAATTTTCAGCATTTTGCTTCTCTGTGTTTCCAAAGGAAACAACGTAAGGCACTTGAAATGACAAGCAGGCATGTCACAATGGAACATCCAGCCAAACAAATGCAGTCCCATCCTCTTGCTTTGATCTATTGCAGAAGCATTTTACTTTCTCATTTTTCTTCCCTTCAGAACTTGAAATCAATAATTCTGCAGGGAAATGCTACATCCTGGTGGCAAATAGTCTAACATCCAATTCAATTTGTTCTCTCTCTCTCTCTCTCTCTCTCTCTCTCTCTCTCTCTCTCTCTTGTCCCCTCTGCCTTTTTTCCCACTCTTTGCTCCCTTTGTTTCCACCCATGTTTGCCTGCTGTGTGTGCATGCACGTCTTCACCCTGAAATCTTTCTGCGTGTGTGGGTGTCGAATCACCTCACACTTTCCAACCCTTCCCTCTTCCTTCCTTTCCCTTATCCTCCTTTCCGCTCTTCTGTCCTCGTCCTACAGATCCCGAGCGTGGTGGCAGTCACATGATCTCCACAGATGACCTGGAGTATCCGCGAGAGTACCGGACGTTGGGGAACAGCGCTCGCCGCTTCTCCAATGTCGGCCTGGTGCACACGTCGGAGCACCGGCACACGGTCACGGCGGCCCAGAGCCTGGAGGCCCTCACCAACCTGCACAAGGTGGACATGGAGCGCAAGAGGGACGCCTTCATGGACCACCTGAAGAGCAAGTACCAGCAGCAGCAGCAACTGCAGCATCCGCATCACAGCCCACACCACACCCCACCCTCTCCCTCACCCTCCCACGCCAGCATGAGGGGGACGTCAGAGCGGGCTGCACGAGAACAGGTAAAAAGTCATACCTGGGGAATGGGATTCTGTTTTTCTTTCAGGACTATCCTGTCAAGAGATACTGTACGTGACGAACTGATCAATACTGTCAATTTGATTAGAGACAAAAATATGTCACATGTAGACAGGCCTATTTACATGCACACGTAACACTGTAGTTGAGGTATCATCAGGTTGTCTCTTGTCAGGACAATTTCTACACATTGTGCTTATTAAAATAATTGAGAGAGAGAGAATAAGGAAAGTCTGTCAGAGGGTCTTTGTATGGGGGTTATTAGAGGTTGTCATTAAAATGTCACAGCCAAGCTTTCTTTGTTTTATTTTCTGCAGCCAGGACTTTTCATAGACTGGCTCTGTTGAGGTGTGAAGGAGGATGGGAAGTCACACACTTTATGAATGTATAAATGCTAATGCTGTTCCCTAAACAATTAAGGATAATGTTTCTCCTTTGCTTTCTGTCTCTTATCAATTATTCTCCCCCATAAGATGTAGTTTATCATTTGACCACTTTCACAGACTGACATGCACAGGTCCCCACACACACACACACACACACACACACACACACACACACACACACACACACACACACACACACTCATTGTGTGAGCTCTACTGCTGTGTGTGTATCGAGGAAAAAAGGTTAGATTTAGTGTAAAGACATGACAGAAAAGAACATCAGGGGAGAGAAGAGAATGAAAGGGAGAGAGAGAGCGATTGAGTGAGTGAGAGCAAGCAAGGGAGGGCGGACGATAGGCAGGTGGAGTCCATAGTTGCCGTGGCAACCTCTCCCATAAATGGCAAATAGGGATATCGCGTTGCAAAGGTCAGGTTGTATGAAGAGAAGCAAGAATTGTGCAATGATGAAGACCGAAGGGAGCGAGAATTAACAAGACAGAGGTAAAAAAAATGTAAACAAAAGCCGGGAGAGTGGACAGATGCAAAAGTGTTTTCCGTTTACGGGGGAGGCAGCAGCAGGACCTGGGATTTCTTGTCATCTCGTGGATGTGCAGAGCATGGACAGTGAGGAGCGAGGGAGGGGGGGGAGGAGGAGGAGCTGGAGAGGAGCGCAGCAGCCAGTCAAGCAGCCCGCTGCTCAATTAGCCAACACCAGCAGGAGCCAGCCACCCATCTGCGAAGGAGTTAATCGGCTGGTGTTGTAATGAATTAAATAAAGAGTTTCCGCCGCATGTGCTACTGGAGAGCAAGACAGACAGACAGAGAGAGAGAGAGAGAGGGAAAGAGAGAGAGAGAGGGGGAGAGAGGTGGCCTGAGCGAAGGGAGAGGGAGGGAGAGACGGGCAAAAAACACCATGAGGCATCGCTGCACCTGACCGACAGCCTGGGATGACTGGAGTAGTGGACAGGTGCACTGCAGGTGAGACGGGACTGCAAGCTGGAGGCTGTTGTAGAGAAGGGTGTGTGTGTGTGTGTGTGTTTGTGTCTGATAAGGATGCACGAGCTAGGATTAGATTCCACGCCTGTTGTGTTTATGCTGGTTGTTGTGGTGACGGGGGCTGCATATGCTCGGCAGGCTAGACGAAGGCTGAATGGACGATAGTGTAAACTGCACACAGCCTCATGTGCAGCCTTTATTTGCCGTGGTGGCTAGTGTAGGTGTATTTTAAATGACAGACAGAAGGGGACAGGGGCTGCGGTAACGTTGGGATGCCAAGCCAAACCGGAGGAGGATTGAAGGGGGGGGGGAAAGAGTAAAGCGTGGTTGAGATCAGAGGGGGGCGGGGGTGCAGAAAGGATGACGACATGAGAAAGAGCCGGAGGTGGAGGAGGGGTGCAGCGAGTGCAGCCTGCTTTACATGCCGGTCAGGTAATGCAGCGCTACGCTCTGCGAGGCTACGTCCTCCTTGGAGTTCTGTGGACAACTCACAAATGTATTCCTGGGTGTCTCTACGTGCATTCAGCTCTTTAGCCCCAGGTTTCAAATTTTTTAGGCATCAGTACAACTGTCTCTTCGGGGCTCACAACGTATTAAATTCAACAGGAGGTTAAATATGACAAGGTGCACATTTGAGCTAATTAGTAGAGCCTCATTGGAGAGTTTTGTCTCATCAGGGATTATGTCTGAATGAATTAGTGGGATAACGGTTGGCAGTATAAAATGATGTCTTTGTATAATTTCCGCACAAAATAAAATGCATAGTAATTGCTAGGATGGAGAAGTGTTAAGGGGTTCTAACAACGTCAGCTGAGCAACAGTTAAAACATCACGAGGCGGGGGATTGTGAATGTGTTGACGTTCCCTGAAAACTGTGAGTAAGCCTCATTAAAGCACAGAGAGAAAACCCTGGCAGAGACAAACACACCACAAGACCACGAATGACTTCCGCACCATTAAAGCCAGCCTTCAGAGTCATTTAGCTTTGTGGGAAAATAATATCATTAACATTGTCTAAACAAGTGAACAGCAATTATTTATGATGCTCCAATGCTGCCTCGAAGCCGCTCTGGATTCAACAGATGGACGAAGCGTTACTGAATAAATGACTGACACATGGCCAGGTTGTCAAGGCCAACATGAGTCCAACCTCCCCTTATGTCTTATCTTATCACCAGTGACCCACTTTACCCATGATCCCTCACACCTGAGTCTTACTGAGAATTAGCTTTCTGACCACTTCAGAGGAGATGCTGATGTTTCATTCAGATCGCTCATTGTCCTGTTTAAATAAGACAAAATTCCTTGTTTAAATCTATGTAGTAAAGCTCTGTTTTTTATAAAGGTGTTATAATATTAACCCAAAATGAAGAATATAATCCTTTAATTCTCCTTGACAGGCGACCATATTACCTAAAAAACAAAGCAGAAAAAACTACCCTGGAGACATAAATTCTCCTTAGCGTTGCATCGAAGAGTTCTCCTACTAATATTTGCTTCGACATATGTTGGTAGAAATGTATATGCTATAGGAAAGAAACAAGTGTGGGTGGAGATTATGCTCCATATCATTTTGAGTCACACTTAAAGAGCCTGTGACACGAGTTTCCCCCATCATCCAAACCCATCAATTTGAGTAAATATTGTCCCCTTGAAAACCGTTACTGAACTGATTTTGGATATTTGTACTTTGATAACCATTAATCTGCCCTTCAATGTTGACCATTTTCTGGATCTTCTCGGGGATTCTTCAAGTCCCGCCAAATTATGGGTGACGTCATTGCGGGCACAGCGCTCCAGCTGCACCGTTCAGGATCCCAGCATCTGCATGTAAACGCACGATGGCGCACACAGCAGCAAGCTCAGACAGTGATGACAGTTTAATTTTGAACGTGTCTGAGAGCTCATATGAGGCTGAAGGATCGGTTTATGTTNACACACTTCAGGTTAGAATATCACTCGTAGCTATTTTAATTACCTCTCAAACGACCTAAACTAGTTAAAGATATGTTTAGTTTTACTGTCGGGTCACTCATTACTGGATCCGCGAGCTGCATGATACTGGCATAATAGATTGCCCGATCGGGCAACCAGCAGGTGAGGCTTCATTGCCCGAGCTAAATACTAGATGGCCCCGGGCCATCGGGCAGTCCTTAATGTCGAGCCCTGTTCTCATCAAAATATAGTGAAAGTAGCGACAGTAAAAGTAGTCATTGTGCAGATTGGTCCATTTCAGAATAATATATATGATATGTTTTATAATGATTGATCATGAAAGTGTTCTCAAAGCTGGTAAAGGTGCAGCTAGTTTGAATGACTTTGTATACTGCAGGGTAGCTTGTGGATTTACTCCAGGTGGAACTAAAGTCTGATTTAACACTTGATTATATTTCACATCATTCATCCCGATCTGTAAAGTAACTGAAGGTATTACATACATATAGTGGAGGAAAGGTACACCATTTACCTCTGACTTGTGTTTACTGCCAACCTAAAAGTACCTAAAAAATAGTAATCAATAATGTATTGAAAAGTTATTTGGCTGATTGTTGTATATCGGCTCCGCCAGGTTTTATGGGATGCCTAGTCTACGTACAGATGGGTCACTCATTTTGAAATATTAAACTTAGTTTTCTTTTCTTTAATGTAGAATGCTATCACGAAACACACATTTGGTTGTTTATAGCATAAAGAACATCTGATTTAATGTGAGGTAGGGAAATATTCATTTGAGTACAAGTACATGTATATAAATATGTCATTTACAACAGCTGTAAGGTGCTTGAAAAGCTTGAAAATGCACCTTGAAAATGCTTGAAAAGTGCTTAAATTTGACTTTGGAAAAGGTGTAAGAACCCTGAATTAAGCACATATTTAATTCATGAAATACCTTCTTAACTTTGACTCCGTATTGACTGAAGTGCTTCGACTGGAATATTTTTGTCAGTTTATCAGGACTATGCCAGCCGAGTCCGAGCCATCTGGCTGGGAACACAAGTTAACTCTGATGGTTCTACACATCCCACTGACTTTTATTATTCCAGTATCAGTGCTGGGACTGACAGGGTGTCACATTGCTCTTATGAGCTGCCCGCAGGCCTGTGTGGTCTATAGGGGAGAGGATGGATGGCAGTGTGGACAGAGCTCCAGCCTTCAGCACTGACAGGAAGATTGGCTTGGAAAGACTTCAGTGTGACTGCTAGCTTCATGGCACCCAAACATACACTGGGGTGTTTAACTAATACAGGTGTATGAAGGCCAATATCAGATACAGTATGTCGTAAAGAAAATCATGATTTCAAACACTTAAAACTGCATATGTTTACATGTCTTGCTGAAGATGACTATCCTTGTTGTTTATCAAAAGCCAAGACAAACCTGAGGAGAAGGTCAGGTTGGATATCAGGAATTTGAAAACCAATCTCATAATTGATGCCATCTTCATATCTGTAGCTTCAGAGGTGTACTGTGTCATTCCAACCCAGTCTCACAAAAAAACGTGTATGTTGGTCCACAACTTGGGACGTAGTATTTCTACAAAAATGCCTCTGAAATTGTAAGATCCCTACGTTTTTTTTCACCATGCCTAGTGAGTAAAGGAGTTTTTATGTAAAAATTACATCCTGTCTAAACATCAGTCAGGCTTCAGAAAGCAACATAGCACCATCACTGCGACAATGAAAGTGGTGAATGACATTATTTTAGATAATAAGCAGAGTGGTGCAGCACTATTCATTGATCTTTCCAAAGCGTTTAATACCGTCGATCATCGCATCTTAAAGCAGAGGCTACTCAGTATTGGCATATCCAGCCATGCAGTGGGGTGGTTTGTGAACTACCTCTCTGAAAGGTCCCAATGTGTTCACTTTGATGGGCTCACTTCTGAGTGGTTGAACATTGCTAATGCTGTTCCTCAAGGTTCTGTTTTAGGTCCACTTTTATTCTCCATATATATCAACAGCTTAGGTGAAAATGTGGATGAAGCTACTTTACATTTTTATGCGGATGATACCGTTATGTATTGTGCAGGTCCCTCCATTAAGGAGGCGGTTGTTAACTTAAAGGCTGTTTTTAACATTATTCAGACTCAGCTCGCTGAAGTAAAGCTTCTTTTAAATGTTGAGAAAAACCAAGGTAATGCTATTTTCAAAAGCTAAAAAGACACCAGAGCCTGTTTTAGATATTGTTACTATACAAGGACAAGTACTCGAAGTGGTTGCCTATACCTAGGTATATGGCTTGATGATTGTCTTACTTTTAAACTTCATGTCAATAACCTGCTTAAAAAGCTGAGGGTTAAACTAGGTTTCTTTTTCAGAAACAAGTCCTATTTCTCGCATGAGGCCAGGAAATGCTAGTCACTGTGACCTTTTTACCTGTACCTATGGTGATTTGTTGAATATGAATGCACCTGCCCATTGCCTGGACAAGTTAGATGCCGCCTATCACAGTGCACTGAGATTTGTCACAAATTGTAAAGCACTTACACATCACTGTACCCTGTATGCCAAGGCAGGTTTGCCATCACTTACTGTAAAGAGGCTCAGTCATTGGTACACGTTTATTTATAAAGCTTTGTTGTGTAAACTCCCGTATTATATCTGCTCTCTGATAACACAGAGTTGCAAGCAGCTATTGTCTGAGATCGCATGATGTAGTATTGTTAGATGTGCCAAGAGCAAGGACTGTCTTAGGTGAGACAGCTTTTATGTGCGCAGCTCCACTTGCTTGGAACAATCTTCAGCAAGAATTGAAACTGAGCAATCTCATTCCTCTGCATGTTTTTAAAGCTAGGCTAAATGAAATGCTCGTTGATACTATGGGCACATGTAAATGTCTATAACTATGTAAATGTAACCTGTAAATATAATGTATGATGTCCTTTATTGTTTTATGTTTCATGTGGAACCTATATGCTGCAGGTCTCCCTTGAAAAAGAGATCTGATCTCAATGGGACCAATCTGGTTAAATAAAGGTTTGAAATTAAATAAAATGAAAATATGATCACAACCAATAACAAATTAAACTTGTTTATTCTTATCTTATGTTACCTTGTTAGCATTCTTTCTTTCTATTTATGCATATTTGACTAATCACTCCCGATATTCATTGTGGGGGTGGAGGGAGGAGGGGTGTTAGATAGATATAGAGTTGTAGTAACTAGATAGAGTTCTATGATTGAGGTTTCGTTTATGCATAGGGTAGATTCTTTTAATTACATTTCCTTTTTTGTTTTGTGTATTTTTTACATTTTGGATTTGCTTGGCGAGCTACTTTTAGTGGCGACTAAGTGCCTCCGTGTTGGCTACCCCTGCTCTAGGCCTACCGTTTAGAAGGTTCTGTGTAGTTGTTTAGTTTCAGATAATTTAACTTTTTTGTATGTCCTAATTAGTAGAATTTATTGGGTTTCATTATGTTGCTGTGATTGTGTACAAATACGAGTTATGTATATTATACCACAGCTATGTTGTGTCCCATTTGTTATGGTATTGCTCTTCTAATCCTACTACCACAGTATTCATTTTAAGCATCTTTAAGTAAAGTATGTTCATGAATAGGTTATATAAAATGGTTGAATATTTTTTTTTTGTGTTATTAACTACAAATGAGTATATTATAGATATATTACCTAGAGTTATTAACAGTTAGTATATAGTATAGAAGCTGAACACAGACCTTTCTTGCATATTAACTACCAAATATGTTGAGTACATGCAGTATGCTTTTAGTGTGTAGTATAAATTGGGACACAGATCAGGCTTCTTTTAATACATAAGTGGTTACAAACGAGAATAGTTTTGCCTGGTTTCAATGCCGTCAATCGGTTAATCTAGTTCTGTATTTAATTTAAAAGAAAGCTTCAGTGCTGTTTAGACAAGACTCATAGCGCCGAGCTCTGTGGCGCCGAGCACAGTATGTGTGCTACACATGTGGAGCCACACACATCCGTCCATGTGTGATCAACTCAGGGTGCAATAAAGAGCAGGCAAGAAAGCAAATAATTATTAAAAAGTTTCAATTCAGAATCAAGGCATCGACTGATCGGCTCTTCTGATTGACCTTTATAGAGAGCACAAATCCAAGTCTTGACAACTAATACCAAGCGTTGACCCTTGGTGGGCAATCAATTGTTGCGCCAAACCTGATCAAAACTTCAGCAAAGCCAACATAAAATGTAATAAAAGGCGAGACATACACAACACAAAATATTAGCATTATTATTTCATCATCGCTGAGTGTACTTTTGCCCAGGAACCATTACCACTTAAGCAACAAATTGCACAACAGAACATTAATAAGAGAGAAAAAAACTAGACGGCATAGAAAAATAATTAAACCAAAGATAATGTCAAAGAATGGCAGCAGGGCCAAATGAGTGAACAATAAATAAAAGATAAGCTTGCAATAAGGTTATTAACGGTTTATATCACTCTCCCTGTAATGCTAGTGTATACTGAAATAATACAGGCTTTTTTGAGACAGTATTACCACCAACTATCATAAATCAAAACTTGCCTGTCACTTTTTTCCCCTCCCTGCTCCAGGAGAGTAATGTGGTTCCTGCAGAAGGGAGGAAGACTGGACTGAAAATTGCCGTCAGATAAGAATAGGAACTAGAATAAGAGTTTGGATTAGAATTAAAATTCATGAACTCTGCCCAATTTTCCTTGTCATTTTGAGGTATTCCTGGGCCATCAATGACTTGGCCTGGATTCGACTGGGGGGTTATTACGTTTCAATGGAAAGCTCACTTCCTGAGGCCTTGGCCAACATGGAATTTTTTTCCGCACTTTGGCAGAGCAGCAGGAAGGGCAAATGGGCTCATGAGTGATTCAGCATGGAGAGAAAAAAGTGGCGATGTGGCGATATTTAGATGAAAGAGCGGAGCAGGTGGATTGAGAGTGAAAGAGACAGCCGAGTGCGAGGAGGAGACGGAGCCGGTGGTGGAGGAGTCTGGGAGAGAGTCCAACATCGGAACAACAGAGTGGGCTGCTGTTTGATTCGATTTCACTCTTTTCCTTCCCTTCCACCAGTAACAGCCAAGAGTGCAATCTTGTTTCAGGTGCTCTGTAACCTGAAGCCTGCAAAACACAGCCGCCCCCCGCATTAACACCAATCAAACTTAACGATTCTGGTTCGGATTAAATGAAGCTGTCAACAATTTTAATGAGTTTCCTATAGGTCCTGTCAAAAAAGGAACGCAACAAGGAACTGATTTAGGAAATGCAACCGGTTATACTTCTCAAGGAGGATGCTTTGGATCTCAGTGTCAAACACCTCACATCTCCTCTCCAGTCCAGCCTGTTCTATGCACTTAAAAAAAAAAGTTGTATTTATGTCATTGATCCTCTGTTATTATTTCAGAAGCAAGTCCCTAACTTTTCTCTTTCTGTTTCCCTCCCCTTCCCTATTTTGTCCTTCATAATCTCAACAGCAACAGCAACAGCCCAACTACTGGAGCTTTAAGGTCAGTGCTGCTTGTCTTACTGTCTGTGTGTGTGTGTGTGTGTGTGTGTGTGTGTGTGTGTGTGTGTGTGTGTGTGTGTGTGTGTGTGTGTGTGTGTGTGTGTGTGTGTGTGTGTGTGTGTGTGTGTGTGTGTGTGGAGGGATTACGTCAGACTCCTCGGGCAGCACCAGTCTATCTCCTTGGTTCTCTGGCTTCTGTGACACCCAGATCACTTGACATCTCTTGGTTCTTTGGGCAGTGTGAGAGTGTGTAGTGGCAGAGGTGTCAGGGGTGGCGACAGCTTAAACTTCTCCAGCTCCATTTAATCTGCAGAAGGAGATTCTCTCAGGATTTATGATCCCTCAGGCAGCTGGCATTAATGGCTAGAAGCCATGTGACCCTTCTGAAGTATTACTCACACTGACTGAGGCATTAAGTAGACATTTCAGACATGCCGCTGAGGCATTACTGAAATAATACTTTGACATTAGCACAGAGGCTTGAGTCATGGCTGGGCGGCTGAATGTGTTTTATTCACAGGTTGCAGAGAGGCAATAAGTGCTAAATGAACTGGAGAAGGCCAGCGTCAAGATGTATAGAAAGTGTTTATCTATTTAAAGAGTTGAACCAATTTTGTAGCTTGTGTGTTTTTTTAATGTGTATCACTTTGTTGTGGCATTACACTGCACAAAGGCAGGCAAGGAGGCGTCCTATCTAAACAGAAAGTTAAAGAACGTTTAATGTACGTGAGAGAAGAGCCTAAGGCTTCTCTGCGGTGTAGTCTTCCCTGAATCCTTGCTTACAATATAATTTGGACAGGTTGGAAATGTCACTGAATATCAATGTCCTTTGCCCTGACCTATAGGGAAGGCTGAGCAATATATAACTCACTTACACAAGTACTACAACCTCAAGCAAGAGTGATAGAAATAGAATTTAGAGCCCCGGCCATCAGATAAATCCAAAACCAGAGGATTTCAACTCTGCAGGACTTTCAAGTGGTGGTTTGCAAAAGCTCTCTGGATGTTTTTGTAAAAGATTTGTCAAACATTACACAGACACATGCTCATGTGTTTGTTTGAGAATGAGTTGAAAGCAGAGGGAATTTATTTTCACACACCAGAGAATGATTAAAACATTTTCTTTCCTGTAGTGTGTTATACAGGTCTTTGTGCATGTAAATGAGCTGCATAAAGTATAAATAGCATAAATTGGAAATACTCAAGGAAAGTACCAGCACAGAAAAATTGTAGGCTACTTAAGTACAGTACTTGGCTATATGTACTGTGACTATTCACCACTTTGCAGGTGTTGGATATGGAATAATGCACAGTTAAACTGGGATAAAAAAAGAGAGGACATTTTACGACATGTTGGTGCCTGCTGTGTTTTCAAGCTACTTGTCTATCAGAAAAAGAAAATCACTTCCAGTAATCTCTCCTCTCTCAAAGAGAACAACATTCTGCACCCTTTTCTTCTGAGCAAACCGTTTAATATCGCTGCGTAATTTACAGCACTTTAGCAAAGCGATTGGTTCCCTGCATTGACGACTCCAGGTATATAAGAGAATGGAGTTTAGGGGGGTTGGGGGTTGTTTGTCCAGGCAGAAGATTACAGTTAGAGATGGATTGATTTTAGGGAGCCGTTTTCTTCCTCCATTTTCTAAAAGTAATAGGTGTGAACTTGTTTGTTGTGAACGAAAAGCCAGCTTATAGTTGGACGGAGACAAAGCAGGCTCAAAATCTTGAACTGCAGAAAGTGACAGCACAATCATGTCACCTGGATGAAGCTTTGACCTCTGTCACTAGAGACTGAAGCAGAGGAAGATCTGTTGAGCAGCTCAGCAAGAATCAGAATTGAGGTTTGGGAGTGGACAGATGATTGACAAGAGACACAAAAAAGATTGGAGGGAGACGTAAAACCTGAAGCAAGCTTTTCAGAAAGAGGAAAATATCATTAGAAGAATTGTCATAAAGAAATAATGGAAGAGAAGAAATGTGGTTAGGCGTGAGGTTTGTGATATTCACCATTTCACACCTCAAGTTTTCAAGACTATACTCAAAAGCCAAATACTTCATCGTCATTTCACACACATTGAGTCTGTTGCTGACATTTCTGGTTGATGTATATTCTCTCCTCGCTCAACTCCATCAGAATGTCAAACCACTTAAGAGGGAAATGACTACATTCAGGGAAAAGATCAGAGAGAATTGGCTTGCAGCAGCGGCAGCAATTGTGTGGTCAGCTTCCCTCTGGACTCCAACACTTTCATATGTGGCAACGCCTACCAAACCACAGCCTAGATAGTTACAAACTGGCTAGTGTGCTTTTATTCATTTATGCAATTTTGCTGGATGTATTTTCAAGAAAGATACATGATGTACTGAATGCTGAAATCTCTCATCTTAAATGAGCCTTATCTTTGGCTGAGCATGCACTGCTCATTTCTATTGTATTGTAATGATTATACTTATACTTTACATTATGCTATTTCCCACAACTGATATCAATCTGCCATTTTTAGCGGTTAGAACCTGCAACTTTAATGCTTAATGCACTGTATGGATGATTCTAAAGAATTAAAAATAAATTAATATTTTCATTCCAAAAAATAAAAACAACACCCTCAATCGGTTTTGTCCGATAAAAAGAAGAAAAAAAAGAAAATTCAGACGATTCATTTCTCAACAATGTTTACGCAACAAAAGAAAGACAGCATTACTTTCAAATGATTTTACCATGAGCGGAAATTAAGAAAAAATATTGGAGCCGCAGATGGCTGGAAGAGACAGACAATATGGTGTGTTTCGTTGTCTGCTCTGCATCAAGTTCAATTGTATTTGACAACAGTCTTAAATAACAGGCTAACCACAGTTCATACCAGCACAATTAAAGAATTCGTGGGGGTGAACAATTCAGGGTTTAAACGTAGCTTAATTCTAATTGAGTGCTGCCTGGCATCAACACTGTTTCCTCACAGTGTGTTAAGCATCTTTAAAGCTGATTCTCTTCTTATTTGTTTGCTTTTTTCAACCAAAAACTCTTCCAGTGCCACTTGACCTTAAAACAGAGCATCTCTGTGTGTGAATGCGAGACAGGAAAAAACATGGCGGAGGTTGAATTGAGTTTAATGCAGTTTGTAGCCTAAGGTCTGCCGTCAGACCTCTGTGTCCCGATTTCCCCCTCCCCCCCCCATTCACTTCTATTCTGAGTAAGATCATCATGTTCCCTACTTGTTCCTCTCCTCTGCCGTGCCCTTAGAAGAGTGTAGAGTTCTCAACAATAATTGAGTGCTGTTAAAAAAGTCACTCTAAAAGAAAAAGGTTGAGGGGGGAGAGGGCAAGAGGGCAGCGGTAGAGGGATGATTGTAGAGAAAAATAAGAAGGAGGTGGAACCAGCTTCCCTCGTATCAGGCTGTGAACACAGTCATGTATAACACTGGCATGTCTAGCAGGACCAGAAATATAAAACTTTAGTATGCAAACATTGTGAGACTCGAGCTCCATCGTGCAGCGTATTCTCAACTCCCTCTGCCTTTTCTTAGAAAACTCCAGCTAGGCTATTTAAATTCCCGTATGCGCTATAGTAGAAACACGGAGATTTTGAAACAGAGTTCCCCTTTTAGCCATGCAGAGAAAAAATTACCATATACTCCCTGAAGAAAACTCCTTTGACATGTTTTACACATGGTGGGGCTTTCTGCCAATCCCGTTAATACTGGAAACTGGTATTGCATTTTATGCCAAATATATCTCAGTGTGTGACTTCCCCTGAGAAATAGTGTTGGGCTCGGGCAGCTGGTTCCTCTACAGATGCCGTTCCAGGTAGCCAAAATACCTGTAATTTGAGTCCAACAAATTATAAAATATTTTACCAACCGGCTGTTTTTTATAATTATTGAGAAGTGATATGTAGCCGACTGACACAGGCCAAGATTAGCTTCTTAGCAACTAAATTCATTTGGAGTTTAGTCGCTCCAACCTGTTTGCCTATTTTGTGATTTGGACTGGTAACTTCCTGTAGTTCAAAAGCACAAAAATGTAACAAAGCTCAGTTTTGCATATATTTTTACGGTGCCAGCCAGGCTAGCTGTTTCCACTTGCTTTTGGTCGTTGTGCTATGCAAAGCTTAACAACTGTCAACTTAACTTCATATTAACTAAATAACTACCATAGGCTTCATAAAATAAGTGTGCCATAAGCAGAGTGGAAAGCAGGAATGCAAAGATACTTTGTTTCATAGAAAAGAAGACGAGATAAAATGCTTTTGCACACTAACCTTACTATGTGTAGTACTGTATCTCACCCCCTTATATATTGTATTTCCCACTGTAGCTGTGTTGTTGTTCAGTGTGGTCACATTCTAGATAAATGAGCCCATTAGAAAACACGGTGGGGGTTATCTGTCAGCATCAGTGTCCTCTGCGTGCTCAGACACTGTCTGCCACCCCTATCACTGGACACCACCACTATCATTCTGTGTGTGGGTGTGTGTGTGACTGAATTATGTATGGTAGCAAGAGAAGGAATCTTACATTAAAAAAAGATAGCTCTGCTTTTTAGTCATGATATGGGGTTTGTAACTTCCCTTGTAAACACAAGTGATACATGGCAGTAACTTTAAAAAGCAAATAACCGGTGATATTAATAGTTACATGTCATAACAGCTCATTCACTTTAATGTAGTAAAGCAAAAAATAATGTATATCTATTAATTAAACAAATAATCAAAAATCATTTCAAATGTACGGAGCCCCTAAAGGGACAAAAAAAGTCAGGACAACGGGTTAGTATCTCGTGCTCACGAGAAACTAACCCGTTATTCCTACTTTTTTCTTTTTTTTGAGAAAGTTACCAGTGCGCCAAGGAGGAAGTGGAGCGCACAGGAGACAACCATTTCATTGCAGACCGTTATGTTTACGTCGGGAAATGACGGTGCATACATTATTTGAGATATATTTCGTACTCAGACTTCATTTTAAGGACATTTCGGCCAGGGGTGTGTGGTCACTCCAGGAGGCAGCGGGACGTGTAACTCAGAGAACAGCAGCACCAGCGCTCAAAGAGCTTTTACGCACCGCCTACACTGTTTACCTTCATTCGAACAGCTAAAGAGTGACCGCAGGCTGCTACGTTTTAACCACACTCACCTCTACACACACACATACACACCTCTACACACACACACAGTCACACACACCTCTACAAACACACACACAGTCACACACACACACACACACACACACACACACACACACACACACACACACACACACACACACACACACACACACACACACACACACACACACACACACACACACACACACACACACACACACCACACCACACACACACACAAATTTTTCGTTTTATGAAGGAGATGTCCGGTCACCAAGGGTGCATGAATGGCGGAAACTGGACTAAAAAATCAGCCCGAGAATCAGGTTTATTGCCAAGTAAGTTTACACATAGCCTACTAAGAATTGGAACTGTCAACGGGGGGAGCCTCACTGCGGGGAAACGGTGGACCTAGTGGCCCGATCGGAGTGGGCCGAGTGGCCCACTTAGGCACCATGTGTTTGTGTATCTGTGTGTATGTGTTCTGTTTTTTTCCCTTTAAAACAGCTGTGGGCAGCAGGTAGCCTACTCTGAGAGTCACGGACATTAATTCATAGATCAAAGCAGACTGGTTTACAGACTCTCCTGTTTTGCCAATCCGGTGCTTAAACAAATAGCTCTACACCCCTGGCCGAAATGTCCTTAAAATGAAGTCTGAGTTTGAAATATATCTCAAATAATGTGTGCACTGTAATTTCCCCAAATAAACATAACAGTCTGCAATGAAATGGTTTCCTGTGTGCTCCACTTCCTCCTTGGCGCACCGGTAACTTTCTCAACAACAACAAAAAAAGTCGGGATAACGGGTTAGTTACTTTTTTTTTTCCTTCTCTCTCTTTTTTTTCATGTCCCTTTAGGGCTCCGTACAAATGTGGTAAATTGTAGACAAATATATTTAATACGACATAATTTATCGAAGATATAATGGAAAATAATACATACTTTATTAAATTATAAAATACAATACAATTAAATACATAGATGGCATAGCATAAAATGGGAAACAAAGTTACAAATTACAATATTTAAATAATGCGCATATTTAGAAAATGCACATATAACACCACAGCTAAATAAGAAAGTATTTCAACTTTGCGTTATTTAAAAATGAATCACTTTCGGAGTTTGGCTGTTGGTTACAACAAATCATTCAATTTGAAAATGTCTTCTAACAGACTGTCATGTTAATTAAATAATATATTGATGGAAGCCACAGTGAATCCATGCTACACATTGGGGAAGACAAAATAAATCCTTGAAAGTGGGGAGAGCAGTTGTGTTCATGGCATGGTGAAAGGATGAGGGAACCAGCATAGCTACTGTACTGTGGCTAAGGATGTGTCTGCTCCTGCCATCCAAACAAGCATCACAGAGCATTGTGGGAGCTCATTACAGCCGCCCCTGAGCTGCAGGAAACGCTACAGCGGTGGAGGATCAGGGAGCCAGTTCAGTGAGCTCAGCCCTGCTGCACTAACAGTCTTTCAGGGAGAAGATACTGGGCAGAGTCCTGCAGGATAAACCAATAGTGACAACCTGGGATTTGCATCCGCTTCTCCTCCCCTCCCACAAGTCCTTATAAGAGTTCCTAACAGCACAGGGGAAAGAGTTTGGATGCTGTACGCATTTCGAGGAAACCTAACTTATGCTGAGCTGGAGCACTGTTTCCAGCTTAATTTCGCCACCATAGGTGATTCATAAAGGCTGATTCCCTGGAGTGCTGTGCCATTTGAGAACAACTATATTGTGCTTTTCTGCTGCGCCATTCAACTGATGACAGATACTGTGACGCCGGTAATTAGTGTTAGTGAATGGCTGGCAGCTAAACCATTGTCAAGGTCTCGTTAATCTTGTTACGTGGTTGATTTGTGTAGTGTCTCATTGTGTGCTCACTGTCACTTTTTCTGGTTGGTCTTACTCCATTGGCCCTGTCTAATCCATTCTCTCCGCCTTGATTTTACCTCTTAGTTCATGAGTGTGTGTTTCCTTTTGCTTTGTCTTCCTGCAGAGCCGCAGTCCAAGGCATTCCCAGTCTACCCAGTCTGGGCTTGCCGACCAGGCCGCCAAGCTCTCCTTCGCCTCAGCTGAGTCCCTGGAGACCATGTCAGAAGCTGACATCCCCGTCGGGTTTAACAGGATGAACCGTTTCCGCCAGAGCCTGCCGCTGTCCCGCTCTGCCAGTCAGAATAAGCTACGATCTCCAGGTTAAGATTTAAAGCACTGCTCTGTCACCACAACCTGGCCAGATTCCAGGCAGATTTACAGCTGTCTGTTTACCTCGTCAGGCTGGTGATGTGCAGCACTGCGCTTACACAGAACGGGAGGAAGTGTTTTACGACCATCTAAATTACCGTTACAGTTTAGTCTAATTGCTCTGCTACAGAAGACTGGAGAGTCGTGAGTGCTCACATAACATAACTTTCTGAATGGTTAATTAACTTATAACTAGTTGATCTGTTGAAGTGTAGACACAAATACTCTTAATATATTCACAATGAACTAACAAGCAAGTGTGCAGGTGTACAATTAGAAAGAATGGTTTATTATAAAAAAACCTGACATTTTCTGAGAATGTTTTCCAGTTTAGATTGCTAGTGTTGTTTATTTGACTGTAAGACTGCATGCCTGTATTAATCACAAATGAATGAGGATATGTTTTTGTGCAACGGCAGTTTTGAGAGCAGGTTTACTACAAAAGGGCCTCGGCAGTGTATTACTGTGAGGCTTGTCCAGATCAAGGAGTGGTGTTGCATCTGGCATGGCGAGAAAAAAAACGATCTGTAAAACTAAATTACAATTGACTGACAAGGGCTATATTCAATGAGGAGATCAGAATAAAGCAGAAGACCAAAGCTGCCTCTCTCTCCTCTCCGTGTCTCATTACTAACCACTTTGTTTTCTTCTCTCCCCAAGTCCTCTGAAATATACTCACCTATTCTGCTTGACTTTTAATCACTGGTCTTTCTTTGCTTTGCTTGTTGTTTTTGTTTGTCCCCCGGGTGTATGCAGATGAATTTGCAGGTTAGTCAGGCGTCATCTTTAACACAAACAAATCTAAGGTTTCAGCATTTGACCAAGTATTCCATGAAGCGGGGTTATTTTGCCATTTGATTTTAGGAAGTAAAAGTTTTATATGACAGATATTAGTTGTAAAAAGTCAACTTGCCTTTACCAAATCTGCACCTTAGCTGTGAATTCTAATGCAGCTACCCACACCTGTTCTCACGTTCAGAAAGGGATGATTCATTCTGAAATCTGATAATAAAAATCATTCTTCAGCATCTTGTATATTTGAAGGCAGAACATTTTTATCATTATTGACTACAATATATCCATCAAAATGGCATAAAAAAAGTGATTAGTCATTCTTTCCATCAACAGAAGCCATCCCATTCTCACTCAACCGTCACTCTCTTTTAGGCGTGCTGTTCCTGCAGTACGGGGATGAGACGCGTCGGGTACACATCACCCACGAGCTGAGCAACCTGGACACGCTGCACGCCCTCATCGTGCACATGTTCCCTCAGAAGTTGACGGCAGGAATGCTGAAGTCGTCCAACACGGCCATCTTGATCAAGGACGAGGCACGCAACGTCTTCTACGAGCTGGAGGACGTCCGAGACATCCAGGACCGCAGCATCATCAAGATTTACCGCAAAGAGCCCATCTACGCTTCCTACCCGGCTGCACCTCACCTGGCTAACGGAGACCTGAGGGTGAGGAGACGGGAGCTGGGGAGTGGGGAGCTGGGGAGTGGGGAGGTGAAGGGGTTAACGGTGGTATTCAAAGGAAGAATGCTATCTGATATCTTGCTAGTCTGATGTCAGTGAGAACCTCTATTATGCCATGCCTCTACATGAAGAGCAGCAGTGTGCTTCTTTGGCTAGGCGTTTTTTTTATACTTTAAAGGTACCTTTGACATGCTGTTACGGTGTATAAGTTAGTAATTTAACAGGAATTCTTCCTGGAAATGTACTTTCTTATCTTCAAGTAGGCCATCTGTTGCTGTGCAGACACCAGAGAACAATGTTCCTCTGTGAAATGTGCATATTTCAACATTCCAAGTTATTTCTGCTTCAGTGAATATCAAGGAAGCCTGGGGGAGACCGTTTTTAAATTATTTTATACAAGACCATGCTTACCATCTGCATAAATGCACCCAATGCTTAGAATACAACCGCTATTAACCATGCACACAGCAGGGGAAAAAATAATTGTGTCTGTGTATATTGTGTTTGCAAGGTATGTTTTAAGTATTGGTGTACGCTTACATGCTTGTTTATGCATGTGTATACAAAGAAAAGTAAAGATATGTAGTGAGAAAGCTGCGCAGCACCCATAAAATGTGAATCTACATTCATACATATAAAAACCCCTAACAAGGGATAATTTGTTGTAACACATTTGATTTGGCAAAACCATCATCAAAGTAACCCAGCATCTTTCACAGTGCATGAAAGATGATTTTTTTTCTCAATTTATCGTTTGATCATTTAAATATCCCAAAACAGTACTAAATGTCCATTCAAGTTTCTCACCGCCTAAGGACTTTAAATGTTTTGTTGTGTCTTTCCAAAGCCCAAAATATATTACATTTAAAAAGATATTAATCACACAAATGCAGTCACCACATTTTTTCTGTCAATTTTGCATGAAAATGTACTTGACAATGAATCAATTATAAAATTTGTCAACTAATTGTGCAGAATTATTTCATGGTAAGTGTGAGGTGAACGGTTCATTTATTCTTTGTAACTTGAGGCTGCATCTTAACAAGCATGTTGCCATGTATTTGCTCTTGTGCCTGTCGTGCCTGGTTGTGTCTTGTGGAGCAACTAGAGGCTTTACGCTGTGCCTTAATCTATTTGTTTGTTTAGGTTGTCTCCATACAGATTGTGCAAACCAGAACACCTCATATAGCTTTGTAAATATACAGATTGTGTATATATATATTTGTCCCTAGACATAACAGCTCAACAGCACAAATTCCTTTGTCACGCTCCAGCATTTCCTGTGTATTACATGGTGCCGCTTGACAAGGTTAGTTAGGATGCTGAGAAGGAAATGAGAACAAGAAAAACAGCAATGGGAAAACAACAAATGTAGTAATGTGACAAGGGAAAACTGAATATATGTGAAGTTGGAGAAATTAGGTAAATCCCTACATTAGAAAAGCAAAGGCAGAGGTGGGTTTTGATATATTATGATGCTCTACAAAGAAAAGCAGGTCGAGAAAAATAATAGCTAAGAGGACATATATATTTTCTGTTATTCTGTTCAGTTCTGTATGAATGAAGTTGTTGAGTGTCCTGCATCCTGTCACTACAACTACATGGAATACATATTCATGATTTGTTTTAGCATATTATCTGCTTGTAATGATATACTAGTAACCCTATAACCTGTGAAGACAAGAAGCAAAAAGAAATGACAACAGTCTTGGGAATATGCATGTGCTGGACAACATTATTATTCTCTAATTTGGCAAATTAAAAAAACATAACAAACAACACGCAACATTCGGTCTCTTGAGAACCATCTTCTCTTGGGATGTACAGAATTTGACAGCTGATTTATTATCTGTCAGATCTCAGTTGTTGTTATGTCAAACTGCCTCATGGGACACATCTCATCTGTATTTCTCCATGGTAACCCGCATCCCTGCTTGTTCATTTCAGAGGGATATGGTGTACTCCTCTCGCGACTCCTCCCCAACTCGCCGCCTCAACACCCTTCCATCCTCTACGTCCTCCAGCTCTCCGTCCCGCTCACGGCTCTCTTACAGCGGTGGCCGTCCTCCATCCTTCACGGGATCCCAGCATGAACAGCCCCGACACCCCCACCATGCCCCGGCCGGTCACGGTCCAAACGCAGGCCTGTCTCCGTCGCCCAGCGCCATCCTGGAGCGCCGCGATGTCAAGCCTGATGAGGAAGTCTCGGCAAAGAATATGGCTCTGATGAAGAACGAGAGCCTGTATGCAGATCCCTACAGCCTGATGCACGAGGGCCGCCTCAGCATCGCCTCCACCCAGTCCCTCGCTGCCATCGGAGACCCCTTTAGCTTCCCTGTAACCAGTGGCCTGTACCGCCGTGGCTCTGTGCGCTCCCTAAGCACCTACTCAGCTGCTGCTGACCTGGAGGACTCCCTCTACAAGCCTGGAGGCTCACTCTACTCCGACACCTACTCCTCAGCCACACTGGGCATGGGATTTCGAATGCCGCCATCATCCCCGCAGAAAATCCCTGACATGCAGATGAGGGAGAGGGACTCGTATTCCAACACGCCCAGCAGAGCCTCACCTGTCAGGCAGAGCTTCCGCAAGGACTCTGCCTCTTCCTCTGTGTTTATAGAGAGCCCCAAGTCCAGGCCCAGCTCTGGTTCAGAGCCTCTGTGTCTGACAGCCGGGCCCGGGGAGGGCGGCAAGGCCACGCCTGGATTTGGTTCCCTGTCTGGACAGGACCTTGAAACCAGCAGGTCAGTACTGTCTGAGTGGAGCATTTAATTAAGGTGCTTTATTGTTTAAAGTAGGTTTTGAACACTTGTTTTTATAATCAGCTTCTAAGGGAAATGAATAATCTTCTGTAAAAATGAAATAAGAGCACTCTGGTTGTTTTGCATGAACAGTTTCTGTATTTGTGTTTTTTATGTTGGTTTAAACTGGCTTCACACAATTCTAGTGAGGGGAAACAGAAGATGACTCAATGTTATTATAGTTGATGTTCTCTTAGACTTTAATTTAGAATTTCTTGGTAACAAGCAGATATTTACATGTACTTACAAAGCTGTATTGCTTACTCTACTGAACTGTGTGTTACATATTATCCCAGCCAAAAGAAATGTTTATAATTTAATCCCGTGTTCATCTGCCTTTGTGCTTTTGGTGATTTGGCATTTTCTGCAATACTTATTTTCAAATCCCAGATCAACACTCACTATTTAAGAACTACTTTTAATGTATGATAGATATTGCATGTTGTATACTTTAAGTGTTCTGATTTATATGATCATTTTAACTGCTGAAAACGTGTCTTTGAGTACCATGAAAAGCACACTAAAGGAAATTGTATTACTACCATTTTCCTTTTCAGGGATCAGCGTCTGGAGCGCATGGAGGCGATGGAGAAACAGATAGCCAGCCTCACTGGCCTGGTCCAGAGCGTGCTGACCAGAGCGCCAGACAGTGACAGCACGTAAGACTCCCATTACACCCCATTAACCCTTTAGATCTCGCAGATACAGCTTCAGGTCAGACACATAGGCAGCATTATCGACGACAACGGTGGCAGGCTGTTATCAGAGCCATTATCAGCATTAGTTTGTGTGAGCACAACACAAGCACAGAGCACTAAACATTAGCTACAGGGCACAGTGCTATTGATTTTTGCATCGATACGTAGAAATGTGTAAGATAGCTTTTAAGTTGATTTGGAGTTCCTTGTATTTAAGGAACATTGTTATCACTTCAGCCTCATGAACACTTCAGGGGCTCATTAACAAGAGGTTAATGTAGTCTGATAGTGTCCAGGAGTAGTGCTGTTAGGGTTAGCACTGTAATTGCCTTGCCCTGTGGCCGTTAATCCTCAGGTGCGGCCTGCTGCGTCTCTGCATGATGGCGGGCTGCCCTCCAGACCAAGGGACGGAGTTCTCACGGCCCTTACCTTTTTCTTCCAGCGAGAAGACCGAAACCAACAGCGACGGCTCCGCCACCGAACGTGAGTACCCAGGCGTTACTCACCAGCCCTTTTTGTTACTAACACAGTAATGCCTTATTTACATTTTTGGGACAATTTATTTTCCACACTTTAAAGAGGCTAATGGACACAAACAATAATGTATGGTGACCTGAATGTGGTTTAGAAAAATTAATTCAAATTTGACAAAGCTCTCACAAGGGGATTCACAATGGAAACTAACTTTTTGTTTAGAGTTGTGGGTTTGGTTATTTAAAGCGTGCTTTTCTTACTTGTAGTTCAATTAACTTGGTTCAAACCGAGGATTTGTTGTTGTTGTCATACTCAGTCGGATGAAAGCAAATATCAATTTATCCAATTTTGCCCAGTATAAAGCTTTTAGCCTACTTCAAAAGCTATCTCTGTACTTGATGGAGATATATTTATTTTTATGTATCGGTGTATTTTTGTAAATATCAGACAAATATTTTTCAGCATTTAATTTTGAAGTACTGATAGAAATCCTTTTCCAACAGGTGTAGCCCGTACAGGCCGAATCATATCTGACTTAAAGCATTTCTTTGATTCCACGCATTTCTCTCTTTCTTTCTCACATGTCCATAACTCAGTAGCTCAGTTCTGGCATAAACAAAGCTTTTCTTTGACCAGACCTTCACATGGCCAGTAAATATGAAATGAGACTACCCCGTCCCTCTTTGTCTCTCTAGCACCCTCTCATTTATTCCAAGGTAACTGGCTCACTCTTTTTATATTCCAGCTGGACGGCTGAAGAAGAAAGGTAGTTGTCATCTCTTTCTCTATCGCCCTTTTCTTTGTCACCTATCAGACATTCTCATGGCTCTCTGCTCTCTGTATGGGTGTGTGGTGTTGCTGGGTAGCTGGCGGTGTCTATCCTCACGTTTTCCTCCTGGCTGGTTTCTCTGAGAGCGGGCCCTCCTCGTCCTGTCTCTGTCTCTACTTTTTAATTTCTGCTTGGTTTTTTCCTTTGGGAATTTCAGAAGGTTGTCTTTGTCAGAGACTATGCTCTCCTTTTTAATGTGTATAAGAGTGTATATGTGTGTTCAGGAAGCATACATGTGTGAAAGAATAGCTGGAGAGTCAATGGCCATATTCACAAAGCCCTGTGTCAAGATAAGAGCATGGTTATCCCCCTGTGTGTCACTACTGAAAATACTAATTGCTCTTCCATATGGGCTACTAATAGCATGAGCTCACATTTCTCCCAGTGGGCTATTAGAGTTTTGTGAATATGGCACTTTTTTAAAGTTCACACACTGTATATGCTCCAGTTTGTGCAAATGTTTATATTATGTACGTTTCTTTGAGCCTGTTTGCTGTTTGTGTGTTTTCATTTGTCATTCTGGCTAACTGAAATCTCACTGGAGCACAGCCCAGCAAGCTAATCAATTTGTTTCCCAACGACTTCCTGGTGATCCCCCTTGTCCTGCTCTGTGATTGGCAGCTCATACACCGTCGGCCCCTCTAGCTCTGATGCCGCCACCACCTTCTCTCTTAACCCCGGTTAACGGCGCCGGCCGCTTGAAGATGAAGCTCCACCTGAACGGCCTGCAGCAAAATGCCACCGACCTGCGCAAACAGCTCAGCCAGCTACGCAAGATGCAGGTAAACATTAAATCAATCGCAGAAAATGCATGTTTTGTTTCTTCAGGGGCCTGTTCTCCCAACTTACACAATTCTGTTACACAGTTTTTAAGATGCCCTATTATGCTTTTTTGAATGTTCCCTTTCCTGTAGTGTTTTATATAGGTTTTTGTGAATGTAACTGGTCTGCAAAGGCTAAAAAAACATAGTTTCCTCCAGAGGGAATTTCTCTCCCAAACCGCCACCCAGCCTGATACGCCTATTGGACTCCTTTGTTCACTTCTGCGACATAGTGACATCACTATGTAACCCTCTCACTTCTATTGGCTAGCGCTCGATGTACATGTTAGGCTAAGGGGCATGACATCTCTAAGCAGTTCGCCAATCACAACAGAGCCATCGTGCTAACCAATCAGAGCAGACTGGTCTCTGGTTTCAGACTGAGGGTGAATGGAGGTGCTTCTGTATGAGAGGGCAGTATGACAAAAATAAAGACCTTTTTGAACATAAAAGCATGGTTTTTGATCATTCTGATCATTTCAATTATTCTGTGATAAATTAATTCATAATGCATCTCCTTTTCATCCTTTTGATTCGTCTGAATTACGTACAAAGAGGGATTCTTAGCACGGTCCGCAATGTCTCACTATTGACAAGCAATTTATACAGAATGTGAGCCAAGATTATGTTCCCATGCTGTGGTTTACTTGTATTCCACATATTGCACCAGCGTTATAGAATAGGGCTCAGAATTATCTATTTATTCTACATTCAATCAGTTATCTAAAATGTTTATGATGAGCGAGTGTATACTTTGCAGTTTTTTCTATACAGGAGACCTGGCTTTGATGTTTATTTGATCTTCACATCAATACAACACCTACAGTAAATAACACCTGCCGGTTCACATACTTGTACTGCCTGACATATTGAGGGCATTGTACCTTTTGAGGATTAATGATGATATGGAGTGAGTGGAGGATAAAAGCTTGGCTCGCATGGCATGGTATTCTACAGAGATTCAAAATGTCACTCCAGTTGCGGAATCAGATGAAATGCCATAAGTAAGGGTTAACTGGAAATGTGGAGATACAGCCCTCATTTATTCCATTTATCTCTGATGCCATGGTTACCGCGGGAAGAGATGATGAGATAAATGCTTTCAGCATCAGAGGAGAGGATTCAAGTCTCTCGCAGGGAGAAAGGAGAAAAAAAGAGTAATAGGAGTGACAGATGATGGGCATGCAGTGCTTTTATTTGTTCCCTGACAGCAGTCACCAGGGCTGCTTGAGAGCGTTGAGAGCCAACAGAGGCTGTGTGGTACCCAGAGAGGACAGTTAACCTGTATGTGTGCCCAAGTGTGACCTAGGCACCTGGACTAGTACTGTTTCCACCAGTGATTGTCAGCGGCCTACATTTTACATGTGGCTCATGAATTATACAGAGAGAGTTTCCAGGAGTGAGAGTGCAATATTTGAAAAACATCCTAAATCTTCTGTCTATATATTTAAAACAAAAAACATCCTTAATGCGTCAGCAGCATTATTATCTGCAGTATAGTAATGAATATGGGGTCATTTTAAATGTTCGTGATATCTTGTTTGACTTCCTGGGACATAAGGCTGATCAATTATTCATTTTTCTTTTCTTACCGGGTGTTTTCATCTCAGGGAGTTGTATTACATGCAGTAGTCCTGTAGAATATTCCCTTCATAACACAGAGCTGGAGTGGGTTTCACACTCAGTGATTCTGTCATGGAAACCCTTCACTCTCCTCAGGGTGTCCTGGCTTTTTGTGACACATTACTTGCACGCGCTGATACAAAAGGAACTACTTACCGCATCTAACAGTGCTTTTAAGGCTCAAGACAATCAACAAGCAATGCCTGAAAACACATAGGCAGTCAAGGAGAGAGCACAGTGTTTTTCTGGCATCAAAAGGCAGAGAAGGTCGCACAGTAAAACAAGAAGCCAAGGCCTGCCCCCTGAAGGTCGGGGGAAAGAAATATATAAGTTGCAGTAAATCAATAAAGTCTGTCTTGAAAAGCTTTCAGCAACTGCAATTCTCCTCTTTGTTGTCCTGTTGTAATGCTCCAATGGCAACGATATCAGATTTCAAGCTATTTTCATTATGCTATCGAGGCTAACGTTGATACGATTGCTCTTAAAACAGTTGTCAAATGTACAAAAATCCCAACTCAAGTGTTAAGTATGTTTGAATATGTGTGCAGATGGAGAACCAGGATTCAGTGCGAGTTCTGTTGAAGCGGGCCGAAGCGGAGCTGAACGTGCGCGTGGCGGACGCCCTGAGGAAGCAGGAGGACCCTCTGCAGAGACAGCGCCTCCTGGTGGAGGAGGAGAGACTCAAGTACCTCAACGAGGAGGAGCTCATCATCCAGCAGCTCCAGTCAGTAACAGGAAATGTCTTAGTATTGACCCGTCTTTTAGTATTGGTCTAAGTCCTTTGTGAAATGTCCTTGTTTTCATCATACTATCCTCTTTTAGTCGAGGTTTAGCCTATATATGTGTCTAAACATTTGAGACAATCTAGTCTACCTTTTTTTTATTTGAATCTAACCTTTTTCACAAAACATTTTATCTTATCTGATGAAGAAAACACATTCAATGATTTTAAAATGCAGCTTTTCTACTCTCTCCATTATGAGTGCAAATCCATTACGTCCAAAATGCAAAAATACTCAACCACCAGACCCAACCCACATTTCTGCAAACTTGATGCATTGTCCTAGCAGAATTGCCAGGATTAAGACTTATAGATCAATAATCATGTTAATCCAAAGACTAGTTTTCTCCAGAAAAATGTATAAATGTTTTTATTTTGTACTAACGGATTGATTTCTGCTCAGTGCATTTTATATAATTGGATTGATATCCAGTATTAGATGAGTTTCATCACATACAGTATATTTAATAATTGCTATAACCATGACACAGTTGATATCTGTTTTATAATTGCATGGCTCACTGGGTGAAGCAGTGATAGGGATGAAATTGTAACTGTAATTAAGCCCGGAATAGAGCAAGATGCTTATTAAGATCTGAGGTATGAGAGGATCCGGCTACTAATTGAAGTGACTGCAAAACCAGAGCAGAGAGCTACCTTGAGATTTAATAATCAGATAACTTGCTACTTTCTCACGTGTGGAAATGTTAATAAGTCTGGGAGCTGCAGAAGAGTTCCTGAATCTCACTCTGAGCGGCTTTTTGATTGCACACTAATTGGTTGAACTGTTAGATGATCTCACCCTGACTAATGGCCAATTTAATATTGGTTCATTATACATTAAACTTTCATTCATTACATAACTTAAGGCAGATTTATATGACATAAATCTCAGACACACATAATATTTGAGCAGAATAAACTAATTTGAACTGATTCTCGGCTGCACTTTGTACCTTAGTTGTTTTCAAACTTTTAAATACCCGTCCACACTCCTCCAGTTCAGCTGTCCAGAATGCTTTATCTTGCTGCCAGTTGATTGAGAGACAGTTTATTGGCGGAGGTTTTTTACTGAAACTCAAATAGCATCATTCTGAGATAAAAACGTAGTCAAAATGTAAGTGTTGCAGAGTAATCCCTGGTGTTCAGCCTTCTGTCTGTTCTTTCTCAGTGACCTAGAGAAGTCAGTGGAGGAGATCCAGAAGGAGTCGTCTGTCAACCACAAGCTGGTGACAGTGCAGGAGCTGGAGGAGAAGGCCACTCATCTAAGAAAGCTGGGAGAAACACTCACAGAACTGAAAAGTGAGTCATGCTGGCACATTTCACATTCTGCGCAGAGGCACGAAGCAGAAAACGTACTCAGGCAAACAGTTTGTATGCCACTAATTACTCACCAGGCATGACTCATTACTCATCCACACCCTGTCTGCTAGCCATTTGATCAGTCTCAGATTGCTCATTGTCTTAATGAACTCCCTGACCATTAGTACAAAAATGTTTTCTTTGCTTACAGCGAAAGGCTTTCAATGTCTTTGACAATTAGATCGATTTGTTATTGGGGAACATGGTTGTGTTACCTCTCTTCTTCCTCCTGCAGATCAGTTCCCGGGGCTGCAGAGTAAGATGCGGGTGGTGCTCAGAGTGGAGGTGGAGGCCGTCAAATTCTTGAAAGAAGAGCCGCACAGACTCGATGCTCTGTTAAAACGCTGCAAGAGTATAACTGATACCCTCGCCACCATGCGCAAGTACGAACCTGCGCCAACTGAGAGCTCATAAGCTAACTTTTAATGCTCATTTAAGGCACAATTTTCTACCATTGACTTGATGTTTTTTAAGTAATCCTATATGTTACGATGGAAGGGTAATTGTGCGAAAACTTTTTTGACACCTAGTGAAATATGTCTGGCATTAGCTTACACAAAAACATAGCCATTAGCAATCACTTTCTGGAAGGCTTTTCCTTTTGAACCTCTGCCAGAGAAATTATGTTTTCACCCCTCATTGTTTGTGTGTCAGCAGAACATTATAGATTTTCATAAAAGGTAATGGGCAGACAGGACTCGGACCAAGCAAAATTGATTAGTCATTGCTGTTGAATAGGTTTCAGTTTCCGCTTTACTGTTTTAAGCCAAAGCTCTTAAAAATAGCAGGCACAGAGTAAAGAATTAAGTCATAATGTGAATACAATAGCCTGCTCTGAAGAGTGCATTCAAACAGCCACTGAAGTACCACTTTGCTTTATGGGTAATACCCTAATGAAGGCTCTTTTCAGCCACATGAAGGACTGCTTTTTAACTTTACGGTGAGTCTGGTCCTTTGGACTTTTAAAATGTGCCCTTCAGCATTCTAACGTCTATTTTTCTTTTTTTATCATCTATCAGGCTTGTGCCTAAAAAGCAAAGTTTCCTCTTTAATTAACTTTACTGATCAAAAATATTTATTTGTATCTCATCTTTGTGGGTAAGAGAAAGTTATCCATAATTGGTGAAAGTTTTTGCCATGCACAATATTTGGAGCTTTTTTCTTGAATGTTTTTGGCGTTCAGCAACAATTGCTTTCTTTTCAAGTTATGAATTATTCATGGTTTAGTTTGTATTACATTTCAAAGAGTTGTTCCATTAATTCATATTCTGTTTCTTACCAGACAAGCGAATGAGGGTGTGTGGAAGAAGCAGGAGGACTTCTCTAGTCCTTCATCAAAGCACAAAGACGACATGCGAAAGTTTTCAGACTTTGACATCCACACCAGCCAACCACTTACCATCAATGACCTTGGGGGAAGCAACAGCCTGTCAAACTGGAGCCCCCACTCCAGCCTCAGCCGGGGCCACGCCAACATGTCTGGCCCTCACAAGGACAATCATCCTCCTGTTCCTCACAAAGGCAAAGCCCTGGAGGAAATGGAACGCCGTGCTTTAGCTGACAAAGCTTTGTCCGTGGAGGTCCGGCTGGTAGGAACAATTTATGCCGTTTTTCACCTATTTCTTGTCTGTTTTCCCTGCTCACATAGTCTGCTTTACAAATCATATACACTAGTTACGGCTATTTGAATATAAAGTGTTTAGATGAGTTTTTGCACTTCACAGGCAGCAGAGCGAGACTGGGAGGAGAAGCGGGCCACTCTGACCCAGTACAGCGCACAGGACATTAACCGGTTGCTGGAGGAGACCCAGGCCGAGTTAATGAAATCTATTCCAGACCTGGACTTTGCTGCCAAGCAGATCAAGTCCTCCTCCAACACACCCACCTCCCAGAACCCCCAAAGCGGGGCAGGAACCCTAGAGCACCGCGTCGGCAAGCCCCAGCACAAACTCTCTGGGGGAGGATCCAGGCGTGGCTCTGGTGAGAGTTCAGTTCTTTAGTCTGAATCATTATCATGCATCATCGTCAAGTAAAAAACCTGCCTTTTCAAATTGACAACTTTTCAAGAGCTGAGAAAAACAGATATTTTTCCCCAAAGGTAACCACCCTGCATTTAAAAAAAAAACGAATTACTTTTAAAAGACCTGCAGGCCTTCAAATGTTCTCACGCACTTGTATACCCTTAACTGAGTTGGAATATATATAGCATTTTGATGTCACTCAACATAGATTTAATATCGAGAAAAGCAGGTTTTACATACAACCGTATTATCAAGGCTACAAATGCCTCATGGGTCGATCCAAAAGTAAATGTTATGCCGCTGTCACTGTGTGAGTACTTTCTCAAGATTACCAAATGATTTCCTTGTCTAGATGAGCTGACTGTTCCACGATATCGCACAGAGAAACCCTCCAAGTCCCCCCCTCCTCCACCACCCAGACGTAGTTTCCCGTCTTCTCCGAGCATAACCAGCCGCAGTGGAGAGCAGCTTATTCCTGGGAAAAGTATAAAGGTAAGACAAAGATGCAAGAATATACTTATAATTGTTATGTGCACCACACAAAGTAAGGATTTTGCAATTCAAACTATTAATTGTAAAAGTAAGTAAGTAAGTTTCCTCAAGGGTTAATATCAACAGATAATTTTACTGGTATAGAAAGAAGGTTGAAGGCTTTAATATATTGTCTTAACTTCAAAACATTGAGTACTGGTCCATACAAAATATTGAAACTCCAAGCTGGATTACTGGATCAGATGGGTGAAACATGTTTTTTATATTTGTAATTGTAGAAGTCTGAATCTGAAGAGACTGAAGGCCAGAAGCCTCATGTAAAACTGAGGAGGGCGGTATCCGAAAACCCTCGTCCTGCATCCACCCCCCCAACACTCACCTCTGGGGACAAGGGGGACGGAGAGGAGGAGAAAACTGCTGCCGAATTGGAGGTAAACCAAACCATGGGTTGTGTATTACTGTATGTTGATTACATCCTCAATAGGCTGTTGTTCAATGACTTGGAAAACTGCAGTTTTTATTATTTATGTTAGGTCCACAATCTGCTACCTGCTTTTGTGCGCACACATACTCACCAGCGGACCTGCTCACCATCATTACCACATGTTCAAGCAGCAGGTGCCATATGTCCCCTCTGCCCCTGGCACTGGGAGCGCCCAAAGATCACATACTGCTCAGTCACACACACCATCACCCAGGGCTCACAGATCACAGCCAGACAGATGGACCCTGATTGCTGCTTGGGCTGTGTTTGAGCCTGTTGGAATTTTGTTGGAGCAGAGGGTCCACAGAAGCAGATTTTTCAAATTCAGTGCTTGTTTGGTTTTTATTGTACAATTTACGACAGCTTTTGAACCTCTCTTTTCCCTCCCCAGCTGTTTGAGAGAGTGCCAGCCAGGCTCTCTCTTCCCCTTCCCCATTCCCTTCCTGTTAGTCCTCTCAGCAGGAAAAGTGTCCCCCCCTGCAGACCGGACCTGTGGCCCTCTGAGGCCCCAGGCACTGAGGTAACACTGGTTGGCCCCGAGTGCTGTGGATTGCTGCCCTTTTTGTCTTCTTCACCTCTCCACCTTAACACAGTAACCAGCCACATGTATTCCTCCTCTCTCTTCAATCTGAAAAGTCTCCTTTCAGCAGTTAAATTGCTCACACATTGATAATGTCTACCGTTTGCATGCTGCATTTCCAGCCTAAAACATGCAGAATGCACTAAAGTGAAGTCTTATTTACATACAAGCTTGTCTGGAATCAATTCAATGATTGAATACCCACTCTAATTCTTTTTTTCTTTTTGAAAGTTGAGCAACTTGAAAATGGTTTTGGCCACTGATATACTGTACAGCTGACATACAAACAGCAATTTACCTCTGTCCTAGTTTTTTTTTTTGCAGACAGTTGCTCAATTACACTCAGCAGCCAGCATTATTAGCATTCATTGACGAGTTATGTTTCTCTGATGAATGTAAGATCAATATTCAATATGGTTTCATCATCTTGAGAAGTGTTCTAGTCCTCAGTGTTCACTCCTCCTTCAGCTTACAGTCGATTGGTAGCCTACAGAGGTTTATTTGCTGGACACATCGCTTCCCGTGTTGATTGTAATTTTGAGACTCAACCATAACGCAATTGTGCTGCAAAGCCAAAACAATTACATAAAAGATTTGTTTTAAAGTTTTCATCGCTAGATTACTCTCTTTTTTTTGGTAACAATGCATCTTGACTCATCGTCATTTGGACACACCCTTGTATACACATTGAGTTCCTTTGTATAATATGAATGCACCCTTCACAATCACATGATATTCTGTGTGTGTGTGTGTTTTTTCTGCAGTGGGTTTACGGTTGTGGTTATTGGTGTGTGTGTGTGTGTGTGTGTGTGTGTGTGTCTGTGTGTGAGAGAGAGAGTGTGTGTGTGTGGATGTGTGTGTGTGTGTGTGTGTGTGTGTGTGTGTGTGTGTGGCAGTCAGTATGTATGTTTGAGAAGCGAGCTGAATTGATGTGATCACACAGGCATCACATCAGAATCGGTTTGTTGTATGCACCAGAAAGGAGCATACACATGTTAACACACTGATACTTACGTGTAGAGTTAGTTATCTCGACATAATTACAAACAAGCTGCTTAAATTGCTTTATGTTGTCTTCTGGGTATGCTGTGATCTCAAGCAGCAAGTTCTTGAATTGTGCTTGAGCTAAAACCAGTATTTAAATATAACCCCTCAAGTGCTTTCCTCATTTATAGGGAAGGTGCTTGTATCCTGTCCCCCACATCATGTTGACAGAGTGTTTCCTGCCTTCACACACTGCCTCAGAGGATCCTGTCAGAGATTCAGCCAATGACCCCCTAGAGGAAAGTGCATCACGGGACTGGACTGGTCACCACACAGTCTACCAGACTACATTTTCAAAAGAAAGGGATTCATTTGGAAGCCCTCCTCAGCGAGAGCAGCTTTGTTTTAAGGAGGACTTAAGACAGGAAGTGGCCCTGTTGTTGACAGAGCTGGAGGTGAGGGAGGTCTCTCCTATTGAGGCCGAGGAGCTCACCAGGATACTCGGAGAATCTCTGCAGACCCTCATCATCTCAACACAGACCAGTGAAGTTCCTGAGGTCCAGCTGAGGGCTCGGCCTCTCCTAGTGCTTCTCAGAGAGGTGAAAACAGTAAAGGATGCCTACATGCTGCTGAGTAACCTTTTGGAGTCGTCCAAGCCGGTGCCCAAACCAAGAATTAAAGCCTCCCCCAGCGCGGGCCAGCAGTGCTGTCTGGTAGAGGCTCTGAGGAGCGGGATAGAGACGGGAGATAGAGTACTGAGACTTCAGCGCAACACTGAACTTAACATTCCTGAGGCAAAACTGAAATCTGTAAACATCACTCTTCAGTCAAGTGGATCGGCTAGCTCTGTGGATAGTGTATCGAACCAGAACCAGAGGAAAGCAGGAGAAGATGTCCGCTTCAGCACATACAGGAGGCTGGACAGCTTGGAGGAGACTATTCGTGAGCTGGAGAACACCTTGATCGAGTTCAGCGGCCATCCAATGGCAGAGCAGCTCTACACAGAGACGACCTCACAGACCAAGAAGCCCCCGGTCCCCCCCAAGCCGCCCTCTTTCAGCCCAGCATCGACCCAGGTTCATTGCTCACAGATTCCCGTTCTGAAGCAGCATGCTCTATTTTCTTTCCTCACTGCTTCCCTCTGGGTGACTGCTGGAACTTCACTTTCAAGCTTCTAATGTCTGCTCCCTGACTTAATCTGAGTTTAATTGTATTAAAATCGAAAATATGTAATGTGGGGACTAGACAACAGACTTCCTCTCTACTTGTCTGTTCTGTGATTAGCGCTGCTGCTGCTATCCTGCTGAGCCCAGCGTTGTTAATTGTTTCTTCATCGACCTGTTCTCGCATCTGTTTTCTGTTTGTAAATCTAGCCAATTTCACCTTTTGTTACCACAAACCGGCAATAAAAGCAAATGCATAGATAATATAAACCTTACATTTCCTCCTCTTTACTTACAGCTCTATTTTCTTGTATTTGTTCCGTTTGATCCGAACCTGAATCACAGTTGTGAGACCTTACCTAACCAAGGTCGATGCCAAACAGCATGGACACAGATGAAAACCTGTGATCTCTGTTCGGATCAAACTGAACTGTCATCTTGTTTGTTTCTGTGTGAAAGCTCAGTCTTCATTGAGTGTGTGGTAGAGAGAGAAATCTACAGTATCTCTTAAAATAATTCACTTCCAATACACTTCTTGGTAATAAGTAATGACCACATGTTGAACTCTATTACCAGAGATTTAAGATAGCTTTCTTTCAACTCACCTCCAGTTGACCGTAACACAACCAAAGATGAGTGATTACCAGAAGACCCATTGCGTTCCTGTGTCAGCTGCGCTTCACTGAGGTGTTTTGACAGCTTGCGTAGCGTTCCCTGTACTGAATGTAGCCCCCCCACTCAGGGCAGGGCTGCAATAATTGACAGTTGCAATGTCATGGCGAGTTTCAGCCCTCTGATGTAGAGCCGGGGAGCATTCCCATAGGCAGGGCTGAGGATTACAGCGTCTCCACACATTATTTCATCACTTTTACTTCAACCACGTTCAGTATTTCAACATGACCCTTCTTCCTGCTCTCGTCCAACGTTTGCTAGTGTACTCACCGAATTCAGACTGACAAGTGATCTCAAGTCAAACCCCAGTTTTTTTAATTAGCTTGTTAAATAAAGCATGAAATACTGTATAGTGCACAGTTTATGTCTTCAAATTCAGCTTTATACAAGGCTCAGGGAAGACAGGCAGGTTTCCTTGAATTACAATTGCAGAGGAAGACGGGCTATTTGACGTCACTTCAGTTAATCTTTTATTAGTTTTCAGTTCAGCTAATATCTGTGTGCAGAGGAGGCACAGTTGGGTGGAAATTTGACTGCATGTGTATTTCTTTTTGAGCGTATTAGAGAAAGCCGACAGAGTAACCCAGCAGGAAAGATCATTAAGCACACGCTTCGTGGGTCCTGCTGTGAGGCTACGCAACGCCGGTTTTGATTCCATGTTTTATGTTCTCCTCTTTGTCATTTTCCGATACATGGTGAAACTCTGTGAAGTGGATTGTTCAGTTGTATCAGTTACAAGCTCTAATCTTAAAACCTCATTGGTCTCGGTCTGGTGGGGGGGGGGGGGGACAGAATTGCTTGATTCATTCATTCACACTCTGTGCTAAGTTGATGTGTGTGTGATGTGTGTCGTAAACTAAAGGCCCCTGAAGTGGAGAATGAAATGTAAGAGACTGTGTTCTGTGTGTCTGAGGTCGGATTCACACATCACTCTTCTCCTTTCAGGGAGAGAATAAGGTCGTCCAATCCTCCGCTGCCTCCAAACTGAAACACCTGCAGCAGAACAGTACAGACAAGACTAAAAGTGGCAGAAGAGAGGACTTTGTGAAGGGCCAGCAGCAGCAGCAGCAGGTATTATATCTTTACACTTGACTCTCTGAAGGCTAATGCAGGCTTGATCTGGCAGGGTCTGTACAGTATTTACCACACTCTTCAATGGTATTCGATACATACATGTTATTCAGGAAATGTAAGAAAAAGCTTGTCCAGAAGAGAGGTAGACAATCATTAAAATGAAGATGCTGATCATTATAACAAATTGCCTTTTATTACATTGTCCTTTATTTGAAACTGGAGCAAAGAGAGGCAATGATCTGTGGCTGCTATAAATCAAGAAAGTTATATAGTAATGTTTTTGATCACAGGCACAGGCACATTTGATGACCTTGTTTTTGATTCGTTCTTCACCTCCACCCGGTACCCACGGAACTCCTGCATTTTCCCACCGTGCTTCACTCCTCACCTTACAGTATACCTAATCTTTAAGAGGTCTGTTTATGTATTTATTTTAACGACAGTGGCTATGATTCATGCGTTTAAACCAGCTTAGTTAATGACGGTAAATCGTTGATGGCAAAGTCTCATTGATTTGAGTTTGTGAAAATAGATGAAAGTATTCTCTGCCGGTGTTTTTGCTCACAGACGAGGAAAAGTGTTTCAATTAAATCTAAACCGGATTTTTATACCTAACATCTCTAAGTATAGTATTTAAACCAATTAAAAAGTTATAAAATACTTTACTTTGCTTTGCCCTAATTAACACATTTAGGTCTGGATCAATATAGAAGAAACTCCCTGCGTAAGCCTCTTTCTATACATACTGTATGTTGGTATCTCCCCCTAAGCAGGCTTAACTAACTTTAATTCGCCAGCACTTCAGTGTTCAGTCAAATATGGCAAAGGACTGGACATTAGGATGCTTGATGGCCTCTGGAGGCGAGGAAATTGAACTGTTGAAGCATGTAAGTCCAGTAAAGCCAGGAGAAGCTTTCTGCACAGAAGAAGAAAAAAAAGCTTAATGTCAATGTAATTTGAAAAATAACAAGAGCAGTGGAGTGAACCTAAACCTCCATACTCCACTGAAGTTGACAGAAACAAATTCATGCTTGAAGATTGCAAAGAAATGAATGTGTGAGAGATGGGGACATAAAGAAGCTTTGCTGGCGTCAGACTAAGAGGAGATTGGGAAGAATCTCTGCGGTGCCATGTAATAATCGCCTCTTTAGTCGCTGGCAATCAGCGGTTATTCAGTATGAAGAGGACAGCTCTTTTTTCCCCACCATTACGTCTTTCACGTTTCCTCTTCTTTATGTCTCTTTCCTTCTTCCATGTTCTACTCTGCAATTGACGCACGCTGCCCGTCTATCCTATTCACTCTTCCTTCCGCCAGTCTTTTCAATCCCTGTGATTTAAAAGTAGAGTGGATTCCCACACTTGTATAATAAAAGCAAAATTATTCCTATTATTTTATTATGACACTCGCACAGGGCCCTCTCTCTTTGTCAACAAACTGTTCAAAACAGCCATTGTACAAAGAAGCTGTATGTGTGAAAGCACTATCCTCAAAGGGACAGTGGGCTCTCAAAGCTAATTGTCAGCGTGGGAAGTTGTTGCCAAGCTGTTTAGGGTGGCAACATCCCACAACTGCATGACGAATAACGAAAAGAAACAAAGAACCAGCTGACTTAAAACAAGAGAATGAACAGTCAGCTGTGGCGGCTTTCACAATAGCTGCATTTTGCGAAATTTGAAGTATGAGCAGCTTGTAGTTACTGTAAGAGGTTAAGTAGTCCTTTAGAGCAGCAGTAGGTAAGGGTTGTTATACAAAAATAAGCCAAAGCTATTCTCTAGGGAATCAGAGGACTCTCAACAACTAATTCTTAGTTACTCTCATTACTAGTATACTCTACTACAGATGCACAATACTCCAAAGTGTTTCATATTAAGCAAATTAAGGATTTTGAGATCAATAATCACATTTTCCCATATGTTTAAAAAAAAATGTCACAGTAATTAAAAGTAAACAACATCTTAATTGGCCCACAAAAGATAATTGTTTACCTCTAGTTAAATAAATCGGCCACATTTTTTTGATTCATTTGTGAGGCACAAATGAAATAATGACATCATTTTGGAAGTGCAAAATACCAGTTCATACAGTCAGGTTGCGACCTGCTTTAGGCACCTGGATGAAGACTATATCAAGATGACTTTAGCTTGAGTAATAAAGACTGTTGGATTCTTTAGCAGGAATACGCTGTATTTAAGGATGCCAAAGGTTTCATAGAATGCGGGTATGTTGTGCTGGCTTTCTGTATAAGATCCTCTCTGGCCTCTCAGTCAATCACATGTGCCCTTTCCTCTTTGGAAAGTAGGCTAAAAAATGTTCACCAATTGTAGCCAGTTAGCTCCTGTCAGCAGGAGCAGCAACAGCCACAATTACACCACTTTACAAAAAGTAAAAATATTAAAGAACGACTGTATGGAAAGTGAGTTTGTCAAAAAATTAACATAATAACAAATATATATACACAGACTTTTGAAAAAATACAATTCTAATATAATGAAAAATAGGGATAAAATAGCATCAATAAGTACATTTTTAATTATGTCTTGAATTATTAAAAAACTTCTCGGCTTATTTAAATATTTGACATATATTTTCATTAATTTTGTATGATGTCATTTATAATCAAACACGTTTGGGTTTCATACATTTTGAAGCTGAACTCTTTTAACCATGCAGGGACGCATGCTGTAATACGAGCTCGGTTGAAAAGGCCAACACACAAATATTGTAGCAACTTTTTTAAACCTTAATGAGGCACCAGGCTGAAAATGTAACATTGTGTTATTGGTTTCAACAAGCTGTTGCTTTTAAATCGGCTCCGTCTCAGTCGGCTTCTTGATGTCTTTAATGTTAAACTAAGAAAAACAGCACAGATTCTGACAATGAAGCTTACATATGGATGGAGCAAAACGTGTCTTCTAAGGCAGGGGTCCCCAACCTTTATTGTGCCAAGGACTGGCAGATACATAAAAAAAAATGTGCGGACCGGTTGTCAATTTGAACTGATTTGAATATTTACTCACCAGCAGGTGGCAACAGAAGCTAATTGTATTTAACAGCCTGAAGAAATACCAATATGCATCCAAATCATATTAACAACGTTTAAAATCAGGATACAATTAAAACAAAAAATTAGAACCGCTTTACAAATATTAATATAATATAGCCTAATATAGGTGGCAACAGTGGCTAATTGTATGTAACAGCCTGAACATATAATAGAACATTATGCATCCAAAACATATTAACAAAGTTTAAAACCAGGATACAATTAAAACAAATTAGGACCACTGTACACATATTGATATAACTGAAATGTCAGTGAGACCCCTGGGCTTGTTTGCCAGCCATAATAACGTCATACCGGGGCGTTCGTTCCGGTGCACTCTGACAGCATTTAGCACTACATCGAGATTAAGATTAAACTAACTTATTTTGGGAACACCCACATACCTATGGAGTTGGCCAGATGTGTGTAAACTACTGTTCATAGTCATTTGAAAACAAATGCCGTTGTTGAACACACACCGAACATACATACACACACACACATCATGCGCCTCTGTGACCGGACATTTCCTTCATACAACGAGTAATAGGGGGAATAATCGGGCCGTTCGATGTGTGTGTGTGTAGAGGTGTGTGTGGTTGAAACGTAGCAGGCTGCAGTGGGGAACACAGTGAAGGCGGTGTGTACACGCTGGTGCTGCACTTCTCAGAGGCTGCCTCCTGATGCTGCAGCCATTTCATGAAGTGAAGGAGGTTTTACAAATAAAAGAAATAGCTCTACACCCCTGGCCGCAATGTCCTTAAAATGAAGTCCGAGTTCGAAATATATCTCAAATAATATATGCACTGCCATTTCCCCACATAAACATAACAGTCTGCGATTAAACGGTTGTCTCCTGTGTGCTCGACTTCCTATTGGCGCACTGGTAACTTTCTCTGTGCACGAGTGGCTGAGACCTTATGCTAACCAATTTTGATTTATTTGGTATGTTTTGGATGAAATAATATGACTTGTATAGGTGCGAAAAAAGAAAAAAAAAATTGATCAAATATTTTTAAATATGTATAATTCTGCAAATATTACGATAAACTCACAGCTATTTCGCGGCCCGGCAGTAACACCTCTGCGGCCCGGTGGGAACCCCTGGTATAAATGACAGATGCATGTAACTCCCAGCAGTCAAAGGGACATCAGTATTCATGCAGCTGTGTGTGTGTCTGACCTGGCCCCACAGTGACGTCAGTGGAGTGTTTGTTAATGATCTTGATCTTTTCAGAGAAGCCGTTCTTCTTCACGATGCTCTGTGCTGCCTCTGCCATCGGTTTGAAAACCTGCAGATACAGAGGAAACAGAAGATGAGACAGAGACATGACAACTGTAGCAGTGTGTCTAATTATATTATAAGGTAAAACTGCAAGTGAATTAATTGTGTCTGCTAAAACTTCTAAAACCATGATTGAGTTACTGAATACGTGCAACAGTAACAAGATGTGAACTGTTTCTTGGTATACATTAAAAACCAACTTTACACAATATAAGAATCTTGGTTTTGCTGTTTTACAGATGACCTCAAGACCCCATGACATCACTGTTGGGATAGCGTTTAGCCTGGTTTTAAGTTACTTAAAACATGAACTTTTACATATTCCTTTTTCATCATTGTAGATACAACACATGGGGAGAATGGGGGGATACAAATTGCCCCTGGTCATGTATTATCTCTACCTCCACAGCAAAGCAGAAGTCAGCTCCTGCAGTGAGAGCCATCATGGACAGCAGGCCTGTTCCTGTCCCGATGTCCAGGACGATGACCTTCTCACCCCGCGCCTTCACTCTGCCTACAGCCGCCCGGATGCCCTGGTAGTACTTCAGATTCTGAAGGAACAAAGTACATCAGCTGCCAGTGTCACACTGAAGAAGAGCAGGTGCTCTGAAGACCAATTCAACAGAGCAAGTGTGATGAATACATTGAAATGAAGGTTAACACGCACCCTGTCATGGTCATGAAGCATATCAGCGTAACAGGACCTGAAAATAAAACATCACAAGTTGATCCAGATGGAAACAGATTCAGATGGACCAGGGTTGCATTTATTGGTGCTACTGTTTCAGTAACTTGAAAAAAATCTCCTCAAGCAATACTTTACTGTAGATGAAACATTTTTAAAAAGGGTCAACGTCTGATAACTCCTGATTTGTGCTTGTGTTCTTTGGGAAAGTTCAGTTTGTGATGTTTTGATTTGGAAAAACATCCTACATATTGTGATACATTGCTCTTTAATAACGTGTCATTGATATGTTACTATCCATGTGTACATCAGCCATGACCAACAAAAAATGAAAGCAAAAAAAAAAGAAGTGTTATTTTAGAGCTGTAAATGAATGCAATTAATTCTGCTCACAATGTTTTTTCTTGTCTAAATAAAAACACCACTATCATTCATCATTAGAATGATCAAATTGTGTACTCATTTGTCATCGTTGATGCTAATGATGCTACAGTGCAGATATCAACGTAATTACATGAAAACACACATGATTGAGACAGGGAAATAATCTAAACCTCACGCGTGGCGTTTCACTGTCAAGGGGAGCGTGTATGTAATTACATTGCAAATACTGACGAGCCCCACCACTATATGGGTTAGCCCTACCATAGATTAGATTACCCAACAAAATTCCTCTGGAGCCACTGTTTGCGGTCTACAATTACAGAGAAGAGCCTGTCAAGTTTGGCTGTACTCAGCACTGAATCAAAACGCACCATAGCTTTAAATCTTTGTTTGTGAGGCGTTTTGCTGATCAAGATGGTAATCGCCACATTCAGCTGTAATAGATATGCCAACTTGATGCTCTGCTCACGGATGAGTCGATGACAATAATAAACTGTTAAGATGATGACCTTGCGTGTGTATAATATTTTTCTTCTTTGTGGGGGTCTGCCCCCAAAAAAACAGTTTAAAGTCCTGAGAAAGTCAAATAAGACAGTGTGTAAAACTACACTGCCCAGCCAAAAAAAAGTAACCACTTCGATTTAACTAGGCCAGTAGGTAAGGGCTTTCCACTGGATAATAACTGCAGCGATGTATATGTTTTAGCTGAATACACGTTTTTTAACCCTAACTGAGGCAGTTAGTCACTTCTTTAATGTTTGTTCTTTCTGATGTGAAGTCAAGGTTGTAACTGTTTGCAATGAAGTTGTGTGCTGTTCTTTTGATTATTTTGATTTATGATAGTAATTACTTAAATGTGAAGGGGGGTGAGCAAGCATTTTGAGGAACATAAATCAAAATAATCAAAAGAACAGCACACAACTTCATTGCAAACAGTTNTGGTGGACCTCCACCTCCACCTGGAGCACCAAACGCTCTATCTGGTAAGGAGGCTGGCAGAAAAGCTTGATTTCTTTTCAAAGCAGTTTGTAGCCCAGGCGAAGAGAGGACACACCGCTTGGATTTCTCCCTATGCTGATGTAACTGATTTATTGCTGGGGACTGCTGCCAATTTCATGTTGTAAAAACAGCTGAGGGCTGATGGCTGGGGGTGTGGGTGGGAGAGGTGAAGCTAACTGTCTCTCTGTATCTGTGTATTTGCAGTGGATGTTACGTAAGGCTTGTGTTTGCATGTGTTTTATCATTTTGTATTTGTCTCTATAGCAACTCTTTAAAAATGACATGCGCCATCTTAAGGGACTATACCTTCAATGAATGGAAATCTTATTTGTTTGATGATTCTCCTTTTCTTGTTTCATAAGGCGTCAAGAGCAAGAAGCCCATTCAGACCAAGTTCAGGATGCCGTTGTTAAACTGGCAGGCCTTAAAACCAAACCAGGTGACCGGCACTGTCTTCAACGAGCTGGATGACGAGCAGGTCTTAGAGGTAGGAAGCTCCAACATCTGTTTCCTTTGTTTTTCTGTCAGGAAACTACATTTCTTTAGTCATCCTGACTTTCTACTCTTTCTCTCATTCTGTGGACATCAGGAGTTGAACATGGATATTTTTGAGGAACATTTCAAGACAAGGGCACAGGGTAATCCAGCAGACATTGCTACTATCAAGAAGAAGGTGGTCCAGAAGGCCCCCAGCAAGACCTCCCTAATTGACGGCAACAAGGCCAAGAATCTGGCCATCACGTTACGCAAGGGGGGAATCAACCCGACGGGCATCTGCACCGCCATAGAGACGTACGTGCTTCATGGAAAATGTGTTGACATTTCTGAGTGATCCTCCTTTTTTGTCACTCATACATTAACTGGTGTAGCTTTTACTACTTTTCTGTACAGGTATGACCAGGAGTCTTTGTCTATAGACCTGGAATTACTCGAGCCCTTCATACCATCAGATTTCGAGATGAAGCTGCTGCTTAACTATGAGAAAGATGGCCGCCCGCTGGAGGAGCTGGCCGACGAGGATCAGTTTATTCTACGCTTTGGGAAGATTCCTCGTCTGAAGCAGCGCATTAGCACTCTCACTTTCATGGGCAACTTCCCTGATACTGTCAAACGCCTGCAGCCGGTCAGTCTCTGTCATGCATTTAAAAATAGAACTGAGATCTGAGGCGCTCTTAAACTGATTTTGTTTTCCCTCGACAGCAACTGAACTCCCTCATCGCTGCATCGATGTCCATCAAGTCTTCAACCAAACTGAAAAAGTTATTAGAAGTGAGTAAAAGACAAACAAAATGAATTGTTCAGTAGCTTCCAAATGTGTGAATGAGTGATTTATCATGTTTTCCCCTCAGATTGTTCTCGCCTTCGGTAACTACATGAACAGCAGTAAGAGGGGGGCGGCGTACGGCTTCCGGTTGCAGAGTCTCGACCTTGTAAGTAGTTGTTTATACTTTTATTTTTTACTTTAAAGCAAGACAATTTCACTTATCAAATTAGAGATGTCATTGTCTTACTCAAAAGACACGTTCATACGTTACTAAAATACCCTCTTGAGGTTGTAGCTTTTGCAAAAAACCTTTGACATTCATGTCTTTCTAAAATGTCATCTCTTCATAATTCTTCCCTATTAGACATTTCTTTTTGATTAGCAAAATAATGATGTTGTAAGGTCATGGTGACCTTGACCTTTCTTATCAGTTTTTTATAGGTTCCTAGTGGATGTTTCCAAATGAGAAACATTTTCCTAAATTGTAACTAGTGGTCACTGTTAAGAAAAAAGTAAGCAGTCTTGAATTAAGTAAACTCAAATTAAGTATTTATCTTTGTCAACTTCCTCCCTTTTCAGCTGTTGGAGACCAAGTCTACGGACCGCTCGCAGACCCTCCTCCACTTCATCGCCAGCATCATCCAGGAGAAATACCCAGACCTGTCCAACTTCCACACTGATCTACACTTTGTAGACAAGGCAGCTCTCGGTACATTTACTCAGTCGACCTGGCCAATTATGTAGCTTGTGATTTTAAATGTGGAGAAATACTAAACTGAATGTTGTTGTTTCTTGGACAGTGTCATTGGACGGTATTCTTCAGGACATCCGCTCATTAGAACGTGGAATGGAAATGGCCAAAAAGGAATTCCTGGTGCAGGATGACAGCAGCGTTTTGAAGGAGTTCATCAAGACCAACAGTGAGCAGCTGGAGACTTTAATCACAGACAGCAAGAAAGCTCAGGTCAGCCTGCAAAGCATCTCAAATGTACAACCTACACCCCACTACATGCTCTCAGACATGATTTCATCTTCCCGTCTGCTTTTTAGGAGGCATACGGATCTGTGGTGGAGTATTTCGGAGAGAATCCTAAAACCACGCAGCCTTCCATGTTTTTCCCGACGTTTGGACGCCTGATAAAGGCCTATAAGGTGAGGATGTGTGAGGGATTCACATTTGTATTTATTACAAATGTTGCATTTCAACTTGATTACATTTTCCTGTAATTGAACACAGATAGCACAGCTGGAGATAGAGCGGAAAAAGAAAATGGAGAGAGAGAGCAGCGAGGAAAAAGTGTCATCTCCAAACAAGGCCGGGTCACAAAAGGTACAATGATAAGTCTTTAAATGTTATATAAGAGATTTATTAACATTGTTTGTTTAATGAATTTTGACATACTATACGCCATATTTTTTATGAAACTTTCCATGTAATTAATAATTTAAGCAACATAAATAATCATCGAAAACAGATCCCTGACTATAACCCATGACAACCAAACTCTTAGAGGAATGGGAAATATATAAGTTACCTTTGATTTCAAATGCTTTTTTTGTACCTTTGCTAGGGACCTCAGATGCCTAAAGTGCCCCAGATGGACCTGATAGCGGAACTGAAGAAGCGGCAGAAACCTCAGGTACGCGAAGGGAAGGACGGCGCCCTGGAGGACATCATCACAGGTACGGTAACACGATGCTTCCTGGTGGAGTTACACGGTGATATTTGAAGCGTGTTTGAAGTTCATGTGCTGTTATTTGAAACTCTCCTGCTCTGCCTCAGATTTGAGGAACACACCATACAGGCGGACAGATGGTCGACGGCCAGCCCAGCGCCAGGACCCTTAATCCACTTCTGGTGCATGAATTTTTACAAATGTAACTCGAGAAGAACATGCTTCAAAATGTTCTGTATATACAGTATTTTAAAATGTATAACAAGCCATGTGGCAGCGTGTTTTTTAGCCAAGATTTTAGAGTGAAACTGCTCTGTAAATAGAATTTGAATATTTAACTATTTTAACATATTTTAAAAGCAAAATTTAATTTGATTATAAATCTTTTACTATTTCTGTGTTACCAATTGGCTTTTGAATGTTCAGTGTTGTTACCTATTGAGTAATAATAATAAAATCATGTTTTTTGAAATAGACCTACTGTATTTGTATGAGCACTTTGACCTGATGCAACATTTTAACACATTTTCTGTCGCTAAGGATGCATGCATTTCCTGACAACACAACATAAAACACAATATTAAGCAAGATCAGACGCCGCCACTGTACAAGAGAGCTGCACTTTATTGGACACACAATCACAGCAAAGTATGTACAAAAGAAGGCAGGTTCAACTGCCTACTGTCTTCTCACAGGAAAAACACACACATGTCTCACAGAATATCATGGCATCCACACTGATAAATTAGTATCTCCAGTATCAGTAGGCTTTTAAATTTATATATCATTATATCATAGATCTATATTCTGTATTATTTTTGTTCTTATATCACACTACTCTACAAATGGGAGGACCGATCTGTGGAAAGAGTACACCATCACGGGTGACTTTTCTGGTTGGGGTGCGTTCCTTCTCGACATCCACCACTATCTTCATCTTCATCATCATCACATAACATCACAGTAAGACTGAACATGCCTGTGACACACATACCAAAATAACGTCTCATTCTTCATGTGTGTAAACCTCCTAACATAGAAACCCTTTCTTGTTCTCATATTTTTTGAGAAAACATGTAGACAACATTTTTTTTCAACTGCACCGTGCGATTGCTTTGAGACTATACATGCATTGTTTTGTATATATCTTTGTACCCATTGTCATAGTTTATTAATAAAACATCTTCTTTTGGACATAACAATTTGTGGAACTCGCTAGGAATGACTCAGCCTATTTACAGGTCAATTTTGTTTTTCTACTTTCGATGCCAACATTTTTGAACATCCACACATTCATGTAAAAATCTCAGATACATACTATATAATGTAGGTTTGTTATAAAAAACAAGATACAATGGCAAAGGAAGAGATTCCACTTTTAAATCACAAAGTGCCCTTATTGATCCATCTTGGGTGGTTTTAACAACTCCGGTGGTTTAGCTTAAATGCTACTTAAAGCCCCTCAGTGCAACAACTTGGACTTAATAAGCAAGAACATGTACTTCCAACTGTTTATTCCACCTGTTGTTGTCTCTAAAAAGCTTTTGCACTGAGCATCCACATTGCTACCACTCCTGTTCACATGCAAACATGACACAGCTAAAAATGAAAGCCATGTGATCTCAAACGTCTTGGCCCATAATCTGACCTTTCACAGTAGTTACCACAACTTCTGACCAACTCCAACTAATACCAGCTGAATCACAAATACAGGATGGGGTGAAACCAAAAGAAAACAGACCACAGGTACAGAAAACAACCCCCTTAAACACGCAAATAGTAGCAAAATAAGCCCCTAAGCACAGGCACTGGTCCAGCCTCTCACACCTCAATAGTGACCCTTCACATAAGGAGGCAAAGGTGCAGAAGAGCTGGACAAGCATTTTCAGGGACAAGCTTTTCAAAAATCAAAATTACATCAAATCCAACTCTGTGTTCGTAAATAAAAACCCTATAATCAAAAAATGAACTTCAGCGTATATTACAGAGGCTAACTGTTATCTATACAGATATCGTTAAAGAAATATAAAAATGTTCTGCGTATGAATAAATAATCTCAGTGTGAAATGTAATATCTCTCTCAATGAATTAAAAAAGGAAAAATCTGTACAAAATGGTCACTAATATATAAAACTGAAGAGGTGATGACATTTTACAGTATATAATTTAATCTAGGCCTATATATATATATCACACTTTTCTTCACAATTATAATATCATACACAAACATCTCACTTAGATATATTTATATATGTATACTTCTTCTATGTTTGATTTCAAGTTTGCATGAGTTTCTGCGACGTGCCCTCCAAGCCTCCGGACATGTTGAAACCACAGCCCACTAACACTTATAAAAAACAAAACAAAAACATTTCAGAGAGCACTGTCACGCAATTCTGGGAGGTTTCATCTCAAACTTAACTTGAGAAAAGCAGCCGAGCGTGAACACTCCCTCCCCAGCGCTCACCAGACGCTAATGCAGCAGATTTAATTGATGGGAGAGTTATGGATTTGGGTGTGGAACAGCATGAGTAAGTGAATTACTTTCATTTGACTTCACTCCCCGGTGCTTGAACCTGCCTTATGGAGCTACAGAGCGACCGGTGAGGCTAAATACGCCGTAGCTGTGCACATTGTTAGAGCTCAGGGAGTGTTTAGTACACACTGCAACCTGACACACTCTGCTTTTCAAGTGTTGTTTTTCTGCAAAAGATGGAAGCAAGACAATTCTCGCAGCCTCTTCTTTGGGTAAAAGTGTTCTTCTGTCTTTGCTGCTGATCTAATACTGTTATACAAGATCAACAGGGGATTTGTGGAAAGTCTTAGAGGCACTGGGAAAAAAGATATCAGGTCCTTACAGACAAACAGGCAGGAGTTTCAGGAAAGAGCACGGGAAAAGTGCTAATTACATATTTCACACACTGTTACTGTCATTACTGAGGCCCATCAGACTTTGTCCTAAAATAACCTCAACAAGTGTCATTTCTTTCACTGACGCCCCACATCACAGACACAGCTAAGTGAGACGGGGAAGAACAGCCGCTGTCACACCCTTCCTCTCATCTCTTTGGCTCTTTCATATCACAAACACTCTCCATGGAGACAAGAAGCCGTCTTATTAAAGAAGCCTTCAAACACAAGTCCCCAAACTAATCCCCTCTTCTCAAGCTGCATGCCATGTGACACAATCCACTTTCGGACATTTTAATCTCATGCCACAAAGAATCGATTTCACACAGTCTTTCTTGTGAACCACTGGAAACAAAAAAAAAAAACAACACTTTGTCGATTCAACCTCATCACATCCCCAGTGGGCAGCCTTAAGGCAATAACACAGGCCAGGGGCTTCCGAGTGTGCAGGGTTTACACTCAGGGAATCACTGAAGGGCCTTTAATGTGCTATACATAGAGATAACTTCATCTACTGTCATTGATGCACACTAAAGGCCTAACATTTATAAATGTTTTAACATGCAGGTAATAGAACCAAATGAAGGAACAACAATATTGTTAATCTAACGTACAGTCATTTAAAAGAAACGGGGATTTTCTTTCCTTTAAGGAACATTTGTAGCTTTGTGCTCATAATTCTTTAAGCAGATTCACAAGATCAACATTTGAGAAAGAGGTGTCAAGTGTTTCAGAGGAAAATGTGCTTTCTTTATATTCCTATATATCTAAATCTCAGGCCCTTCAAGGGTCAAGCTGCGTGAAGTGTCTAAATATGTGCGGATTTTCTTTCTTTAGCTTTCAAACACTGCTTGAAACTGTGTCAAGTGTTGAAGTGCGATCAATTCACTGCAGTGCAAGAAACATTTTGTTCCTGTTCAAAGAAGGTATTACGCATCGTTGTAAGCTGCTTCCCATCAGAGTAACTTTGAAGTTCAAAGAAGATAAGTGTCCTAAAATAAAGCACTTTATATGTCTGCTCTTTAGATTCCTTAAAGGGTGAAATGGTGTTCTTGTCGATGTAGCTCTTTTCAAGCGGTGCAACTTGTGACTTGAGAAAAAATGATTCATCCCTTATCAAAATGCTCTAAAACAACAACAACAAACAACAACAAAGGTTTCTGCACACAGGTTCGTTTTACAAGTGCAGAAGGAGTGACAGAGTTACTCGTCAGTGTGTGCTTGAGTCTTTGGGAAGGTGTGTGATGTCAGGTGCTGAAAGCCTTAGCAACCTGTAGGACGTGACTGCGGAACATCCTGATTGTCATTATTTACTTGTCAATACAGATATACAGAAATTCAATCTCTTTACAATTCACTGTCTGCGTTCTTCCTTCCTTTTTGTGTAACTGTGCCTATATTCTATTTTCAGTAAAGGTGTGCTGTCATAAGACCGCTCCTTTCAATGTGCTTTTGACATTTTTAAGTCAAGATGTCCTATAGTTGTTCCTAATTTTCCGATGCAAGGATTTCCTCCTGTAAGGGTTCATATAAATATTTAAACAGTGTGACATGTCAGACAGTGGAATGTACACTTGCAAAAAAAGTGAGAACAATCATGTAAACTCTTTACACAGTGTACAAACAGAGGGGAAAATATAGCACCAGTTTCAGTTTAAAACACAGGTGATGCATGAAAAGCCACGAGTGCCCTTTTAACACAAAACCACAATCATCACCTTGATCTACTTTTTTTTTTCTGAGCACATTCTGCCAGGTGACACAATATGAACCTGAACAAACACGACTACTGGACTCACTTGGTGATTATTGCAGCTCTATTTTCTATGATAAAAGTCTATAAATGATGTCTACTCCACTAACAACCCCGTTGAGTGAGGGGTTTTATGAGACTGCTACTGTCAGTAAATCCATCCAGACCACATGGGCTCTCTTTCTGGCAAACTGCAGCATGAGTGTGGGAGAACTGCAGAGGAACTATGGAACCAGATCAGAGTAGGACACATGTCCAAAAAGAAGATAGTGACTCCATGTACGGTATGGTAGGTCTTGCCATGGAGATATGCAGAGTGCATACTGGAGTGAGGCCAAAAAAACAGAGAGGACAATCTAAAAAGTCCTGAAATATGAAACTCAAAGATGCTCCAATTTCCCATGATGCAGATGTGTTCTCTTTATGGTTCATAATATGATGGTTCTTCCATCCATCCTCCTTCTCTTCAGGAGCCCGGGGCGAGGTCCTGCTTCACTTGCCCACTGCCCGCCTCCTTGCAGCTGTTGACGCTGGGCTGGGGAACGGCAGAAGAAAGGGTAAGGGAAGGCTTGGGAGTGGAGGGAGACAGGGAGGGTGTCGGGGTGGTGGGTGAAGCAGAAGAGGAGGGGGATGTAGCGATGGGAGTAGAAGCGGAGGACTTGCTGCTGGGCAGGGGCAAGGAGGAGGCTCGCTGCTCACGTAGGAGGCGGCGATGGCGGAGGGTGGAGGAGAGGAGCAGGGCCTCTGCGCTCAGGCCGGAGGCGGACAGGCTGGCCAGAAGAGCCCTGGCTTGGCTGGTGGAGCCTTTCAGGGAGGGCAGCCCCTCCTGGGGGGGCTTCCTCAGGCCAGGGGTGAACACTGCTGCAGGAGAGGGTGCTCGGCCTGGCAGAACTCCCGTTTTGATACCAGAGAGGTATGGCTCAACACTGCCACTGTTCCCCACGGCCTTCAGGTGAGAGCGGGGACACAGAAGGGGGGGCAGGGGAGGGGGGGCAGGGGAATGTGGGGGGGGGGTTTCAGGGATCAAAGGGAAAATCATGAAAAATTAAAGTCTCAAAATTGGTTGGCAACCGTCCCCCTGCAGCTCCTTCCCTCACCCATCACAGTCAAACATGCCCATGCGTGCATGCTTGCACACACAGACTTTGGAGTAAACACTGGAGATATGAAAGAAGCTGATGGAGTCAAACGGGTGGATAGATGTGTGTAGATCTCTGTCAGGCAAACGGGAGGAGAAGGAAGCTAAAGAGGCTCCACAAGGCAGGTGGCTCACTGCTGCAGGGTCACAGGGACAGGTCGGGGGGTGCAGGGCGGCGTGGGTTCACACAGGGTGGCGGGAGGGGTGAGGTTGGCCGCAGACGAGACGTGTAGTGGAGAGGTAAGGGGTGGGTGAGGGAAAGGTGAGAACAGAACAAAAAGACAAACGCAGAATATTGTTATACAGGTTGAAGTCAGCATGTGTGGTGCAAGCCACGAGACCTGCACACATGATGACCAAACCGTTGATAAACACACTTTTGCCTTAGGGTGCAACACTAAGTGACAACGTGTATAAGGTTTCTTTATTTTGACACGTTTTAATGATTTGAACTCATTAAAAATGCAAAATATCCTGATGAACAGGCAGCATTACATGTTCAGTTTCTCTGTGTAATGCTAGAATGAGTCAGTAGATGGCACTGTTCCAACAGTATGAATCTCACACATTTGTCATAACATGTATTTTTGGTAAAGCTAAATTGAATGCATTTAACCAAAAAGGTTTGTAATTTCCATCTTTGGGGGGGCGGGGTGGGGGGCAGATGAAGGAAAAGACACAACATTGACGACAGGGTTGAGAGACGAGCGGGCAAGAACCATATCTGCATTTTATTGTAAATAATTTTACACCAAAGGGACATTTTATCTACACTTTTTTATAAAAGCAACAGGAGGGACGTTTTTGCATTGGCAATAAAGCCATTTTGAATATGTCTGTTGTTGGATTACGGGGATTAGCGCTGTATGAAAGCAGAGCAGGCGGGCTCTTCTGCTGGGAGGCTTTCACCTGCAGAGCACGGGCTGCCAACCGTCCCCTGAGGAAGGGGCTGTTCCTTCTGCATGACAAACTCCTCTCAAGCCTGGTCAACACATTTGTCCAGGTGTGTGCGTGCTGCAGAGTGTCCTCCCTGCCTAGCAGCCTCCCAGGACAAGTCTTGATAACCCCCAGCACCTTGAACTAACCTGTTTTACCACCAGAAGTAATACACAGCTGAATGGGAAATGGAAATAGGGTTCCACATCGTGCCCTCCTTGATCTGTGCAATAGCAAACAGGGAGAATTTGTGGCTTTGAACTCATATCCAGGACACGGATTCAAAGGATCCTCAAGTCTGGGATGCTTTAATACTTTGGAGTAAAGCTTTAGTGAGCAGGCAGCCTTAGCACCATTAGCTCTGTTAATATACGCATCAGAGCCTAAACTAGCTTAAGAACCTGAGTATTAGGACTACATTTGCTCCAATGATCCATTTGGACTACATTATTTGCAGGGGCTTGACAAAGGTATGACCCTAACATCTGAATGGCTATCCTGGAACTAAAGCTGCTGATCCCAAATATTCAAAATGACCATTATCTGTCTATGGCACAAAATGTGTACACTGTCCACCATAATATTTTATTTTGATGGTAAAATAAGTGGGTAACTCGAAATTGGCAGTGCTATACCCAGTACACACGTAAAAAAACAAAAAGCGTTGCCAGTGCATCTTGTTTTAGCTGAGTGCAGATGGTACACAGCCATGTCTTCAAATGTTTTACTGTCCGTCCAGCTGGCTCTTATGATATGTTAATGTGTACCAGCTGCCCTTCATATGAACTAGTGGGAAATGTCATCATCATTGTGTTGTAGATAATGCCACCGATGCTAAAGATATTTATATATTTTAGATCTATTTACGTATTGGCTGGAGACTCTGAAGTGGTGTGCTCATTGCTTCCTTGTTTGTGCCCAGTTTAAAATGCCCTAGAAATGTCAGTTATCATTCGGCCAGAGGAAACAAAAGAGAAAACACCAATGGGAACTGGGTTACTAGTTGGGGGTCACATCTAGGGAGTTGTGTCCGGGGAAGGTTTAAGAGAAGAGACATCTTTACCTTCATATGTTGCCAGAGTAGAGAGTTCACCCACGGTGGGCACGTCTGATTAGAACAACATTATCAGTCAGGTGATCAGCAGGTGTCAGTTTGAGGGAGAAATAAGAGGGAGGGGGCCCTATGGAGGGTTGCCTCTAATATGAATCATGTCTAGGTTACAGTTATATTAGAGGGCTGTGCAATATATACCTGGCTGTTGTAAAGTGTGTGATTTAATTTTGACATCTTAATATATTTTTAAATGCATGCTTCTTGGCAAATGTCCCCTTTGTGGGACGAATAAAGGTATTCTGATTCTGAAAATGTGGATCAGAAAAATACATATGCCGAAAACTGTGACTGTTCTGACGCGGCCGGTACAAATATAATCTTTAAAAACCTGCTTGCTTTTAAGTTCTGAAAAAGAAGTAGGAGTAGGATTTTCATTAACAATTTTTTAGCTGCCATAATTTGCGTTTCTCTTTAAAAACATCACAAAGTCAGTGACCAGAAAATAAGGATTCAGGTGAAGTAAATATACAGTCTGCAGACGTTTTTAATGAGTTATTCAAGACTGTATGCAAATGAGTCAGCCGACTTCATCATTTCCTCAGATGAGCTGCAGATAATTAGTGCGTTTTTAAAGCAAAGTCAGCTGTTTCATTGTGCGAAACTTAAATGCCTTAGAACAGGGGTCCCCAACCCCCGGTGTTACTGCCGGGCCGCGAAATAGCTGTGATTTTATCGTAATATTTGAAGAATTCTAAATATATAAAAATATTTTATCAAAAAGAAATCAATTATTATTATTATTATTATTATTTTTTTTTATACCAGTCATATTATTTCATCCAAAACATACAAAATAAATCAAAATTGGTTAGCATAAGGTCTCTCCTGCGCAGAAAAAGTTACAGGTGGTGCGCCAATAGGAAGTGGAGCACACAGGAGACAACCGTTGTAATCGCACTGTTATGTTTGTGGGGGAATGGCAGTGCATACATTATTTTAGATATATTTCGAACTCGGACTTCATTTTAAGGACATTGCGGCCCGGGTGTAGAGCTATTTTTTTATTTGTAAAGCCTCCTTCACTTCATGAAATGGCTACAGCATCAGGAGGCAGCCTCTGAGAAGTGCAGCACCAGCGTGTACACACCGCCTTCACTGTGTTCCCCACCTGCAGCCTGCTACGTTTCAACCACACACACCTCTACACACACACACATCGAACGGCCCGATTATTCCCCCTATTACTCGTTGTATGAAGGAAATGTCCGGTCACAGAGGCGCATGATGTGTGCTGTGTGTGTGTATGTTCGGTGTGTGTTCAACAACGGCATTTGTTTTCAAATGACTATGAACAGTAGTTTACACACATCTGGCCAACTCCATAGGTATGTATGTTCCCAAAATAAATTTGTTTAATCTTAATCTCGATGTAGTGCTAAATGCTGTCAGAGTGCACCGGAACGAACGCCTCGGTATGACGTTATTATGGCTGGCAAACAAGCCCAGGGGTCTCACTGACATTTCAGTTATATCAATATGTGTACAGTGGTCCTAATTTGTTTTAATTGTATCCTGGTTTTAAACGTTGTTAATATGTTTTGGATGCATAATGTTCTATTATATGTTCAGGCTGTTACATACAATTAGCCACTGTTGCCACCTATATTAGGCTATATTATATATTATATTAATATTTGTAAAGCGGTCCTAATTTTTTGTTTTAATTGTATCCTGGTTTTAAACGTTATTAATATGTTTTGGATGCATATTGGTATTTCTTCCGGCTGTTAAATACAATTAGCCTCTGTTGCCACCTGCTGGTGAATAAATATTAAAATCAGCTAAAATTGACAACCGGTCCGCACATTTCTTTTATTGTATCTGCCGGTCCTTGGCACAATAAAGGTTGGGAACCCCCGCTCTAAACCAAGAACAGCTTTGTGGGTATTTTTGGGAGATAGGGACCGGGAGCTTAAACATATTTATCTACAAAAGGGACAGACAAGAATTTTCATCCAATAAGCATAATGCCCCAGAAGGATATTTCACAGATGAAACACTCCCTCTGGGAAAAAGCTAGTGGAGCAGAGATAATCCAATAGGTGGGTCAGGACTTTAGCTATCCACAAACTTTGCAAATAAAACATATTTAATATACTGTAC